AGGGATCGAACCGGCGCTGCAGAGGCTGCAGGCAGCTTCACAACCCAGCGCTCAACCGCTGCGCCACTGGGGAGGCCCTGATCCCATTTTTCTTAATAGTGACATGTATGAAGATTCCAGGCCAGATGTTTTACAGAAAGTCCATCAGTTTGGATTTGTCTCATCTCTCATGATAATATTCAGGTAAATAGATGTTATTTTATGTAGATATGCTATTCAGGTCATGCTGTATTCTTAAACACATTGTTTCTTAGATGATTTAGCTTTTTGCCTTGGAAACTCTGATATAAACTATATAAAATGAATACATACATATATGCATGTATACACACGCACACACACACACACACAAATAAAGTATGCATAATTTCAAGTGGCTCACAGTCCTTCCCTTAAAGCCTATCCATGCAAGTGCATGAACCATTGGTAAAGACTGTCGTAAGCACAACTAGTATGGGTGATGGGAGTACTTCAGCAATAGTGCTTGAGCTACGTCTTATCAGCAATGTTATCTCTTAAGGAACTATTATGGGCTGATTTTTTTTCCTTCAAAATTCATGTTCCTAGTACCTCAGAAAATGACTTTATTTGGAAATAGACCCTTAAAGAGGCAATTAATTCAACATGAGGTCATTAGAGTGAGCCCTAACCCAATATGACTGGTGTTCTTTTAAATGAAAAGGTCGGGACACAGACAGAGACACCACAGAAGTACACACATGGAGAAGACTCTGCAAAGACAAAGGAGAAGGTGGCCACCTGCGAGTCAATCACAGAGGCCTTAGAAGAAAGCTATTCTGCCAGTACCTTGATCTCTAGTCTCCAGAATTATGAGAATATACATTTCTGTTATTTAAGTCACCAGTTCTGGGGTACTGTGTTTATGGCAGTCTTAGCAAACTAACGTAAGTACCGTTCCGAGTCCCCTTAGAAAAGTTTATTAGTTCCTTCTTTATTTCTATGGTACTTCCTCAACTACCTATGTTATAGTTAGACATGTCTGTTTCTTCTACCAGATTGAAGTCTCTATAGTAGATACAGAAATTGAACATTCCTGCACTTGAAATAATTGTGTAATAATGTAATCCCCATAGTAATTCTGCCTGCTAACAATGAACATACTTGGCATTAAACCTGAGGCTTGGTGGTACTGTTAATTATTTCTGGATTCAATAAAGCCTCTTTGGTTTATGGACAAGGCTTCCTTTCAGGTAATAGCTATTTCTGAAATGCTAGATATTGAGAAAGATTTGGATCACATACAGAGTTGTACCTAGTGAGGTGGTCATAATTAATAACAATTTGGTTCACTAGACATTTAGAAGTTGAACTTAGACCACCGATATTATTTCTAAATCCATTCAATAATTTATTCAGAAAGTGTTCATTGAATGTCTTCCTGGTCATTGTGTTAGATAATAGAACTAGAAGCAAGCCCAAACTAACCTAGTCCCTGCCCTCATGGAATTGATATGGGATTCCAGGTTTTGGGGAAATAAATGAATTCCTTCCAGGTTTCAGAGAAGTAGAGCTAACACAGGGCCTGTACCTTCAGAGGTGAAAACTTGCAGAACAGCTCTCCAAGGCTTGGGGAACTCAGCTGTTAAGGTGGCACTCTGGTTTTAGGAGGTCTCTTCTGGAAATTTTAGTCATGAACAAGGCCCGTTTGAGAAAACTAAAAAACAAGAGCCCACTAATGCTTTGAAAAATTTTAGAAATAAAAATTAATCTGAGTTTTGAAATGAACCAGGGAGAATTCTAACACTGGTAGGGCAGATTTCTATGCAAAGTATGAGAAGCAGTCCTTCAGGACAGAGATAACCTATGAAATGTTGAGTATTAGGTAGAAAATAATTGTAATGCCACAGGAGACATTAAATCAGCTTTCTTATTTTCTGAATCATTTAGAGATAATAGTTTTGGTTCTTTTTTCTGACTGAGTAGATTGATGCCAACCTTTGCAACTTAGAAGCATATAAGTGTCAGTCAGGGTTCTGTAATACTGTAAAAAACCAGAAAATAGATATCTTAAGTTTTGTGGGCCAAGAGGCAAAACCAATGATTTTATGTTGGCCTGTACACAAAATCAAGGTATGTGTACTTACATAATAGGAAACAAAGTTATACAAATTTTATTGATTCAATTAAAAATATAGTAATAGGGTATTGGGGAGGATAATATTAATGAGAAAAATGGAACTCTTTTTCTTCTGGGGTTAGGAAATATTTTGTTTAACTGAGGTTCAAAATTACTGTTCTCTACCTCCAGACTGATAATACGTATTAATCTGCTGATTTGTAATGAGGTTGCATTTCATCTTTTGCATACATAGATATGCAAAATACTGATTCCTCTCCACTAGCACTGATTCTGCCTTATTATAGTTATAGTTTGGATGTCTAGTAATACAACATATTTTAGTCATAAGAACTTGGGTCCAGTATTCCAGGCTGAGATTTTTGCATTGTCTCTGCATGTATACTGTTGCCTCTTGGCCCTGATTTCGCATTGCTAGCACCAATTGGGGACCATTGATGACTGGTCCTAGACTCAGCTCCAATACTGGTTAATACTTGCTAAGGATTAGCATCTTCCTAGTTTGTCTTGCTTGTCAATCTTGCTGTAGATTTTTTCTGCCTTTTCCTCCTGATGTTGGCCACCTGCCCACCTATTTCTGCACTATTATTTGAGGTCTCCCTGTCTTGATGGATGACTTCCTGTTGCTGAACCTGAGCTTAGTATCTGACTCACCTTTAGTCCGCCCTCCACTATTCCCCACTGTGTCTAGTTTCTCTGGAACCTTCCAGTCTGACTTATCTACCTCCCAAGCTCTAGTGCTAGAACCAGGAAGGGCAGGTTTATGAAACTTAACACAAGTTCATGACATAAGGAGATTGATGTTGGGAAGACTCCAGGGTTTTCCCAGGATGGTTGGGTTTCCTGTGACTTTAGAAAAGTTGCTAGAATTCTGTGAACACAGGGGCCTTTGTGGAATGTAAGAAATAGTTGGTGGGGGACATACCAGTAGCACAAATAGCACAGGTGTTCTAGACCATTAAGCATTAGAATAGGCAGAGTGAGGCTTTCTGAACCCAAAATGTGCAGTTTGTTCTAAGGTTGAAGGGGAAAAGAATATCGAGCTATACTTCCAAGGTTCAAGTAACTTAGAAAGTGTAGGTTTTAATCTAGATGATGTGATTAGTCTGTTCCAAAGACTAAGCTGCATGGAAGGTGTGGGTTTATTCTTTTTTTGTGTGTGTGGGATCCTTGCTGGTGGCCGGGGATCGAACTGGTGCTGCAGAGGCTGCCCGCAGCATCGCAACCCAGAGCTCAACCGCTGAGCCACCAGGGGAGGCCCAAGATGTGGGTTTATTCTGTATCTAATGGCCAGGTGAACTGTTAAGAATGTTTCTTAGACTCAGAAGAGGTTGGGATTTAGTGTTCATTTAGGAAAACTGCTATAGTAGAAAACCTAACTAGAGACTGGACCATCTCCACTATGCCTGCCTGTCTGTGCACCAGCTAGATTATTTGAGCTTCACTCTCCTCAGGAATTAAAAAAACTAAGATCTTTCTCCATTACAATACCCCAAATGTTGTCATTTAAAGATAATCTGAGATCACCTTTCAAATGTAGACTTCAATGTCAAAAGCTTGTAAATGACAGACATAAGACTTTATCAACAACACCTGACTCCCTTATTAGATTATTTTTTTCTGTGTTATTAATGTTGAGAGAAGGTGGAAAACAGAGTGGCTGGTAGAAGAGAAGAGAAAGTTCTGGCAGTGTGGGGGGTAGAAAGCCACATATTAAAAATATAGAACCAGAGTCAGTGGAACCCTGGTACATAAGCTGGAATAGAATGAAGTGACACCTTGGAGAATACCAGGAAACAGAGCCTAAAAGTGCAGCTGGAATACCAAAATCACTAGGGAGTTAAGATACATGAATTATTACAGGATTATCAAGAAAAGAAATTAAAAATCAAGATGGTCAGAAACCAAGTGCATCGATTATATCCTAGAATTCCAAATTAGGAGGAGAGGTCAGAGGTCAGAGATGAGTCAAATTGTTAGGGGGAAATGATGTCCTGAGCTAATCTCATACAGGCTTTGTGGACCCCACCCCCACTCCAGACCAAAGCCATCAAGACATTGGGAAAGACAAATCCCATCACCACCAAAGGGAGGGTGGCTGGGACCTGAGGGTGGAGTTGGGCAGCCAGGTTGGATATAAAAACCAAACATGTGGGCCTTGGGAGGCGAGCGATGCTTCACGGTTCCTGGCTGGCGGCCACCTCTCAAAGTGCCATTTTGGGATTCCTGATCGGCAGATCGGGTAGGACTCATTTAAAACTTTGTCTCCCACTTTTCTCCCTGAGCTGTACATTTCCTCATTTCCCCTTCCCTTGTAAATAAACCTTTTATTAACCTTTCACGTGTGCCTGCAGTAGAGCATTGATAAGTCCTTTTAAGCGCACGGGTGAGGACCCACAGTCAGGCACCCAGTTTTGTATCAGGGTTGCTCTACAACAAAAGCAATATCCAAGAATAGTGTTGTCTAACTGGGAACTATAGCCTAGTTGTCAGTTTATTTTTGTTTTGTTTTGTTCTGGGTTTTTGTTGTTGTTGTTGTTGTTGTTATTTTTTCTTGATCCCCTATGAAATCTCCTAATTTAGAAAGAAATTTTGTTACAGACTTGATCTTTCTTTTTTTTTTTTTAAAGTCAGAAGCACGGGAAGGTGAGAGGATTCACCAGAGCCAGAGCGGGGAGCAGAACAGGCAGAAGGACCGAAGTACACTGCTGAGGGGAGCAGCAGGCGGCAGGAGAGGTCTGTGCGCCATATGGGACCCTCCTCCGGTGGCCGGGGAGCAGCCGGGGATTGAACCGGCACTGCAGAGGCTGCGGGCAGCTTCACAACCCAGCGCTAAACCGCTGCACCACCGGGGAGGCCCTTTTTTTTCTTTTTTTAAGATTTATTTATTTATACAAGAACTGGGGTACAGGCCAGAGGTGCGGGAGGGTGAGAGGATTCACCAGAGACAGAGTGGGGAACAGAACAGGCAGACTGATGAAATACACTGTTGAGTGGAGCAGCGGTCGAGACAGGAGAGGAACCTCGTGCCTGGGATCTAACCCGCACTGCAGAGGCGGCAGACAACTGTGGACAGCTTCACAGCGCTGCACTCAACCGCCTGCGCCACCAGGGAGGCCCTGATATTCCATTTTTATATACAGTATGGTACCAGAGCAATGAAAACACCCTGAAATGGGAGTCTGAAGACCAGGATGGAATCTCACTTTTGAGATAACACTAGCCAAGGTGTGTGATCAAGCCCTTTATCTATAAAATATGTAAATTTTGTTAGAATCCCGGTGAATGAGGAAGAGAATTCTGAATTTAACTAAAAGTAAATTTAATTCTTAAGGGAAATTGCTTGGAGGGATATTTAAAAAATACTGTTGGCAGTACTCTGTCTGCCCACCTGTGACTATGTAGGTGCTTCTTTCCACCAACTCTTTCCTCTGCAGGGCAGCAGCCTTCCTGCGTGCCCATGACCTGTACCATGCTGGGACTTCTCTTCACTGACCTCCCTCAGTAGAGGCAGCTCTCCTTAAGGCCGCCCACCTGCAACCATGCAGGCCTCTCTCAGCAAACCTTTTCCTTTCGGGGCAGCTCTTCCTGCCTGCTTGTGTCTATACAAGTGTCTTTTACTGTCCTATCCCTTTTTTAAATAAACCTGCTCCTTAAATATAAAAAAAATAAAAAATACTGTTACCTCAGGTGAAATATTAGGAGATTGTAATTCAACTGAATTACAATTCTGCAGCCTGGGCTTTGGAATTAAAAATATTAAAATGAAAAGAAAAAACTATTTTGGGGTTTTCCAATTTTATCCAGTGCTGACAACCACTCACCAAAGTTCATCAAAGAAGTTTTTATCATTTCTGATTTGCTAAGACTTGGTAGTCTTTTGTGGTACAGAGTAAGAAGTCTGCAGGATCCTGGAACATATGTGCAGCAACTTCTGGTTCTAAAACTAATTCTGTTCATTATCTAATGTCCATGCTTCTGGTGGTCAGACTCGTAGATGGAACCAGTGAAATGGGGGTATACTAGACTGACAGAGTGATAGCAAGGAATAGCACAATCCTTCAAAGCCATAGAAGAAAATGTGGCTTTCATACCACCAGATGTTTCTTTAAGGGAGTGGACTCCAATAACAGAAAAAGGGATTTAGACATGATTATCACTATATTCTAAACATATGAGTCACTGTTTATTAAGATAGATTCCTTTCCTATTTCTTTTCACTGCTTTCAGGATAGGAATAGTTTAGTGTTTTGCAAGGAGTGTACCATAGTCCATAGGATTTTTGCAATCTTTGTATTAGAAGAGAGTTCTCAAGCTTTATTAGATCGAGGAAGTTAATATTTCATGGATTCACGATTTGCGAATTAGTGGCTTACTGTCATTTAAATTAGAAGCTTAAAATCAGCATTTTCAGCTGGACTTAAATATAACTTTATGGCCACACTGTTTTGTTGTTGTTGTTTTTTTTTAAAGATTTTTATTTATTTATGCATATTGGAGCTGGGGTACAGGCCAGAGATGCAGGGAGTGAGAGGATTCACCAGAGACAGAGTGGGGAACAGAACAGGCAGATTGACCGAAGTACACACTGTTGAGGGGAGCAGCGGGAGAGTCAGGAGAGGTCTGCTGAGCCATGTGGGTAGCTCCCTGGCCAGCCAGGGCTTGAACTCATGCTGCAGAGGCTGCTGATTGCTTCATAGTGAGGTGCTTAACCCCTTGTGCCACTGTTAGGGGGAAAGGATGTCTTGAGCTAATTCCAAACAGGCTTTGTGGACTCCACCCCCACTCCAAACCAAAGCCATCAAGACATTGGAATAGACAAATCCCATCACCACCAAAGGGAAGGTTGCTGGGACCTGAGGGTGGAGTTAAGCAGGCAGGTTTGGTATAAAAAACAGACAGGTGGGCCTTGGGGTCCCTCGCTTGCGGCCAGCTCTCAGAGTGCCATTTGGGATTCCAGATCGGCGGATCGGGTAGGACACATTTAAGACTTTATCTGCCACTCTTCTCCCTGAGTTGTACATTTCCTCATTTCCCCTTCCCTTGTGAATAAATCTTTTATTAACCTTTTGTGTGTGCCTGCAGCAGAGTATTAAGTCCCTTTGAAGTGCGGGTGAGGACCCACAGTCAGGCCACCCATTTTATATCGGGGCTGCCCTATAACAGTTTGGCACCCAATGTAGTTTCCAAGTTACACCTGTGGTTGATCAGCCCAAAGTAACTTTCCTTGCTTTGGTCACCATAAGCACACTAGGTCTGCAGGACTCGCAGTGTAATCTTTGTCTCAAGTCCTGCTGCCCTCTAACACCAGCAGGGAGGCCCCTTGGCCACACTGTTAATTAACATCTTTTATCATGTACCTGTCTGCCCCTTCTCAGCGTGAAAAACCTGTACGAAGATTCCTTAATCTATAGAAATAAGAAAAGAGCAAATTTAACTGATTTGTGAATATTGCCTTGGATTTGAGAAATCAAAAGACTTGCGTTCATGTTCTATTATCTGGCATCTATAAATATGTGATTTGGGTCAAGAAAGTTACATAATTGAAATAATCAGAACTTTACTTCACTTATTTATACTGTAGGGGTAAAGTGCTTGTAAGGGATTTTGCTAGGTTTGACATGAGATAATGTGTATAGCAGCACATCAAATTGTAAACACTGCAATGAAGGATATATTTATCACAGAATTAAGTAGTTTTTATAGATCCAACAGAGTTGCAAAATTCCTGCATGGCTAAAGTCCATGTTTTGCTTTTAAACTGTAACATGAAGTTTATAGCACTGTGAAACTCCCTGGAATTTCCATAAGGAAGCCTGTTGTTTTGGGTTATTTTTAAAGAAAATAAATGATAAGATTGTAATAAAATTTGATTTTTAAAATACTCCTGTTACAAATATTTTGATTAGTATTTAGTGTAAACTATAAGGAAAACAAGAAGAGTAATCTATAATGAACTGAAAATGGACTTTATCTCTTGGCACTATTGTCATTATTTTTTTCTTCTCTCTCAAAACCGTCCAATCACTAAAAGGCTGTAATCTTCCCACATTTAAAATTCAGTCACAGCGATCTAGCTGGTAGTTTCTCTTTGCTGGACTAGAAAAAGGAAGGAGTACTGCTATCGTTTGGTAAAACAGGTTTATGCAGCTAACACAACAATGGATCCTATGCTGACTTCATCAACAGAAGAAGCTTTCAGAAAGAACACTGTTAAGAAATATAAAATAATTTCTATTGTAAGTACCATTCTTCATTTCAGTCTTTCTAACTTTGTGACCAAGTTTAAATATTTTACTTCATTTGCATTTGTTTGTGTCGCTATTTAAATGTAACATTTTAGTCAATTTACTCTTTTATACCTTCTGACTCTAATGCAGTTAGTGTTTTTAATCATAGTTTTTTACTGTCAAGAAATTTGAGTAACAAATGAATATTTGATCAATCTAAAATGTCAGGATCCTGTGGCAAGACACTTTGCAGCATTGATTTTAGCAAGATTATGATTACCTTAAAAGCCACCTTTTTATTGCATGAATGTTGTGAGACCAGAAAGTGAAAAATTAAAATCAGTCTCTTCTATTCTGTTAAACTTCTGATTTTATTTTATTTTACTTTATTCTCACAGTCTCTTCTGTTTACTTTCTCTTTTTTGTTCTTTTTTATGGTTAGATTTTCCCTCTTCTGAAAAAATAGCTTCCCTTGATCTTGTTGCTCTTTCCCCTCTGCCATCAGCCTTTGAAAGGGAACTCTATCCAGTTTGTTGGTTTTCTTACCCAACCACTGCTTTCTCTCTAGATTTGTTCTGACTGCACTGAATCACCTCTTAAAAGTCAGTTCTACTTTCCTGCTCTTCTACAGTCTTCATAGATATAAGTTGAGTATTTTCTCATTTTGAATTGCTCTCTCCCCTTGCTTTCATGATGGCATTGATAAGTTCCCCTTATCTACATTCTTGGCTGATTTATCTTCCTAATGCATATCACATACAAATGTTTCTCCAAACTCTACCTCAAGGTCCTTTCTGTAGTCAATCTTGCAATCTCTCATGATTTTTAATGTCATCTTCCCAACCAAGTAAACTAGTAGCTCTGACCTCTTGCTGAGTTTCTGTCTCATCATTTCAAATATTTATCTGCTTGCTGGCTCCTTACCTAGCACCTCAAGCCAAAATTGACCACATAATCTCTCACATATATCCTGCTGCAGTTTTCTCTTTAATTTCCACCTTAAGTAACATCACCACCATTTTCTCTGTCTCTCCACATTGAGATATAAATAAAACTGTGTGTATAAATGTTGAGTTCGAAGAGTATAACAAATAAATCCTTTAGCTATTTTATTTATTCTGGAAACTTTGGAGCCTTCTTTTAGCTCTTATGCCATTTATTATCCTATCTAACCAATTCAGGAACTGTAACCTTGGGAGTAAAATTTGTGCTTCATTTCTTTCCTTTATATTTTGTTTGTGTTTTATTAGTGCATATAATAAAGAAGCTCAATGTTTTAACAAAGGTATCCTAATGTTTCCAAATTTTATTTTAAAATGCAAAAGTGATCTGCTGTTTACTAGCACTCGTTATGCACCAAGCTAAAGCCAAATATTGGGTTCTTGATGATTTTGGAATCCAAAATTCTCCCCTCTCTATTTTGTACATAGTATAAAAATGTTTAAGATATATATATACACCTCAGTACCAAGAAGTTTATTCAGAATTATAAATTTGGAGTAAATGATCATATGAATCTTCTTCTCCTAAGGCAAAGAACAAGCTATAAATATATGGAACGAATACAAAGTCATGAAGAACAAATGCTAAGAATTGATATTACAGTCTTAAAGCATCCTAAAGACAACAAATGTTTATTTTTCTCACAAGTTTGAATGGCAAAAGGACCAGTATACCAATTTGCAAATCTCTGATACAAAAGATTTACCATACGAGACTTTCCCCATGTTTTTTAACTTTGTAGTAATCCCAGTCTTGGTCACCACAAAAAGGGACTAAGAGCTAATGATGTTATTTAATAAAGTTAAGTTCACTTTCTAAGGAATGAATACCTGCTGGTAAGTTGCCAACCCTTGAACTAAATTTGAAACTTCATATGAGGAGCTATTTTCCTCATGTGTTAGTATGTTTTTAATTGCCTGTGCACACTTCTTTTGTTAGATATTTTAATATAAGTTAGATATTTAAGTTAGATATTTTAATTTTACAATTGATTTTCAGAATGAAAAGAAAAGGTTGTAGTTTATGTAGTTCTTCATTAAGCTCATTTTGATTTTTTTATTTCCTTTATGAAAGTGATTGCTTTTTGACTATACCAAGTTATTGGATTTGTAAAGTGCTTTCCTAAGTAATTTGTGTAATCTGCTCCAATTCTTTCTTCATGACAATATACATTATTAAAGCCCTGTCTTCTAACACCTTTATCATTGGACTTGGTGGAAGGGCAAAGAGGTGAGCAGGAAGAATTCTCTTTAAATATATCACAGTTTAATTCTAGTGTTAGCATAAAGTTTACTACAGGTAAGAACTTTGTCAGCAGTAGTGATAATGTTTGACACGCACACTCAGTCTTTAGTCACAGAGCTTCTAAGTTACCTTAAACTCATTTATTTGGGCTGTAATCAGAACAGATCACTTGCCAGTAAATTATTTGGATACTATATTTTTATTTATGTTAACTATTCTTATTATCTTCTGATGGAAAAAGTAGGGGAGAAATACTTCTTTCTAAAAATGTGGTAGTTAATGATTTCAGTTTTGGAATACTTTTTTAAATAGTCTCCAAATTTGTGTCTAGTTAAGAAAGAAAAGAGCAATGGCAAATGGTTCCCAAGATTTTATTCTCATCTTAACTGAATTTGGGGTTAAACTCACGGGGCCTAATGTATTTTAATTTGAAGATCTATAATAAATGGCATTTAAAATTCTTCCCAAGCCTTTTTTATTTATAGGCATTAGAATTACACATTTCTATCATTGTGGGGTCTGGTATCACTGTAATTAGGGTTTCATGGAGGGAGGGTAGTTATGTGTATCTTTGCATATTCCTACAAAAAATTCCCAAGGTCACATTTCCCTTTTTAAATAGGTTCTTCTTGCTCTGTTGGTGATTGTGACACTTGGATTAGGCCTGGGGCTTGGACTCAGGAAACCTCAAGAGCAAGGTATGTCCCTCAGTGTTTTCTATGAAACTTTCTTCTGACCTTGACCTTTTAAAACGTGTGCTCTCTCTATTACAAGGAGCTCTCTCCAACTGGGCTTCTCTTCCACACCCCACTTATGGGGGCCCATGCCTGTAGTGTGCATTATTCAGTAACATTTCTAGACTTTACTCTTTGCTCTCACCCCTTTGCTCCTTTGAGATACATATGATTCCAGTTATTTCCTTTCTCATTTGCGTTTTCAGCAGAGGACTTTGGCACTGGGACCCAGAGTCTAATCACTGAGATTTAATGAAAAACTTGGCTTAAATCTTTGTTCTTCTATTCCCTGCCACCTGTCACCACTCCTGTACCCTGATATCACATTAGTATTGCTCTAGTTCTGAAATCTAACTCTTTCTTGGGTAAGCAGTGCCACATTTTTGAAATGTTGTATAGAATAAAAGCATCCCTTTGATACTAAGAGATACTGGCCTCCTAATACAAAAACACCTTGTATCTCTTATGTGTATCTAATCTGTATGAATAGTAAATAAACCATTTACAAGTGATTACATAAAAAACACTTTTTTTATAACCTTGGTATGTATTTTTTTGGTATTTTACTAAGGGGAAGTGTGATAATTGATCCCCCCTTTTTAATTTGACTGATTAACTTCTGACTTTGGTGGGGAAAGTCTTATTGCCTCTTCATTAGGGAAACTCTTAGTGAGGTTAACTGACAATATTCTAATTATGTTTTCGCTTAAGAATGAATCAACACTGAGAACCCCTTGTGTAACGTGGGAACATTGAAAAGGTGGACATTAGCTGGAAAATTACTCTTTTCTTGGTCACTTAACTGTTGTATTTCTGAACAGTGCCAGTCCTAGATCTAAAATGTTGGTGGGCCATTTTGATGATATTATGCTGATGTCAGTGTATACAGGTAGTATATTAGAATAGTGTACAAATCATTTCTTAGTTACTTTATCCCACAAATCACCTAAATTAGTTGTGATAATGTGTGTACTAATCTCTGAATAAAAGCTCTGATTATTCAGCTCTTTTACTCCCTTTCCATAGTCCACTAACTGGCTGGCTTCCCAGAGCTGCTGTTCCTTAATCTCATCCTTTCATATCAGTCCATCAGCTCTCATTTGGTATCTCTCCCTTACCCCACCCATCCAGGGCATGAACATTTAACTCTAGTCCCTGTTTGCCTATATCCTTAACATATTCATCCCTTCTTCCATCTCAACTGTTGCCTAGTCCCCAACCCTGAACAATTTTCATTATTCTCTGCTCTAGCTAAGCCACTTTCTGTAGATAATATGTTTTTGGAGTTTTAAAGTTTGAGCTTCTATGTGTTCTTAACAAATTTACTGCTTTATGTACACGCATTTTACTTACTGTCAACAATTGAATACTGACTACATTCTAGATACTGTTCTAATTACTAGGAATACTTCCTTGTTAGCAGTGAAGAAAATAGACAAAAACTCTATATAGAGTTCACATTCTGGCATGGAAGATAGATAATAAAAATATAAACAGGCCACATATATAAGCCTATACATAAACACATATATTTGTACATATAGGCATCCAACTGAGGGGTGCCCAGGGATCCCAATGGTTAAAGATCCCATGCTCTAAAAGTGATCTATACACAAAACCAAAGGAAGTGTACTCCTTAGCATTATAGATATTTAATAGAAGTGATGGGGGAGAGAGAGGGAAAGAGAAGGATATGCCTAATAGAAATGCAAAAATTTCCCAATCCTTCATGGCAAATGCCCAGTCAGATAGACTCCATCCAAAGCAGGGCTGCTGAGGCATGAAAACTTGTGCCACCAATCTAAGGTACCTTCTGGCAAAGACCCACAAGAAAGGGGTTTGGAAAATCCCAGAGAACTGGGACAGAAGGAACAATCCAAAATTCAAAATGTACCACATAGCCCAATGTGAAGTCAAGGTAATGATTGCCATTGCCTCTGCCAAGGGGCTGGGAACAGCCTCCCCACATGTCTCTCAACCATGTGAATTTTCCAATATCTTTTCCAAGCATCTTTGCGTGTCTCCTTCCATGAGTTTCCTCTCCCAGGACTACAGGGACTCAAGTCAGAGCTACAGAAGCAAAAGAGCTGGCTTTCCTTCCTTCTGTGTTATATAGATCCACCTAGTCATTCAGCTCTGCCCCTAGTAACCAGTAACACATCCCTCAGGAAGTCCAGTTTATGACAAACAGATTGTAAACCCAAGGTAGCTTGTAAGTGGGGGTAAGAATATGCTGCTGCCTTGTCATGGAGATGTATCTGTAACAAATATGTGGAGGAATAAATAAAACTGCAAAGGGGAATATGAAATCTTGGGTAAGGTGGGGTAGGGTGTATGTGTGTGAAATAATTTTTGAGTAGAGTTGAAGGATATAAGGGCGAAACTGATACTTTGGGGAAGAATAGTCCAAGCGTGAGGAAATCCCAAGTGCAAACCTAGGAAGAAACTTGTCTGTTATGTTCCATTTAAAGAATAACAAGAAAGTCAGTAGAACTAAGAGGACTAGGGGAGGGTAGTCATAAAGTGAGATCAACCAGAGAGAAGCCAGATCACAGCCAGATTGGGAGGTCAAAATATGGCCTTTGGCTTTTGTTCTGAGTGTGATAGGAAGTGATTGGAACTTTTCAGCAGAGGAATACCATGCTATAGTTTGCTTTCAGCACAATCATACAGGCTGCTGTGTTGTAAATAATTGACAGAATGAAATCAGTAGTAGCGAGACCAATTAGGAAATAATTGCATTACCAGTAAGCCTTATGTCTTAAACTAGAGTGGTAGTTTTGTAACTGGTGAGTAGTATTTGTATTCAGGAGTCTTTGGATATAATAGATACACACAATTGACAGATTGGATATGGAGTGATAAAGAGAAGACTCAGGAATGATCTCAAGAATTTTTGGCATGAACTTCTGAGAATAAGGAATTTCTATAATCGAGTTGAGGAAGACTGTAGAAGGTTTAGGGACAATAATCAGGAGCTATTTGGGGATATGTTAAATTTGAGATTTTCTACTAGATCTTCCAGGGAAAAGTTAAGGTAGTTGTATATGCGAGGCTTACTTTAGAGGGGAAGACCTGTGGTGGCTTACTTTAGAGGGGTAGACACACCATGTGGTGGTTATCAACATCACATGTGGGATTTAAAGCAATGTAATTAGGGTACACCAATGTAAAAGGACGAGGGAAATGAAGGAGGAAAAAAATGAAGACTTGGAATGAGTGGTCAGGAATGTGGGGAGGAAAGTCAGGTGATTGTTGTGTCCTGATAAGGCAAGTGAGGAAAATGTTGCAAAGAAGGAGAGTGATTGCCAAAATATGAAGGTCTTTTATGTAAAATTTTTACAAAAATATATGTGTATTTATATATGAATATTTGTGTATATGCATATATATATATATATATACACATAGAGAAATTTTTTCTTTCTTTTTAACTGCATGGTTTCTAAGATCCTTGTATGCATTGCTTTGTGTGCATCTATTCCTATGCTTCTGTCTACTATGTAGTACTTTTTGGCATGTACTCAACATACCATTTACCCTCTCCCATTGCAAGTTACCAAGGTTGACTTTAGTTCCTTAAACACCACATAAATTCTGCAGGTTCCCCTAGATACCTGTGTAAGATTTGTTTGTCATTTGCCCAGGAGTGGAATTCCTGAATCTTAGGGTTTATGTTTTAACTTGGGGGAAGGGTCCCAGGTTGCCTTCTAGAATGGCTGCCTCAGCCTACCCTGCTTTTCCCATGCATCCCTACCAACCTTGGCATTATCTGGCTTTCATTTTTGACAGTTCAAAATTGGATATAGGATGATACCTTTTATTGTAACTCTGTCTTGCTACTCCTACCTGTGTTGGTTCCACTCTTGGTTGGCTTGGTGTATAGTTGGTGTTTCCACAGCATTTCCATTGTGCTGGATCTTATATTCTTTCAGTCTCTTGTTTTACTTCTTCATTTTGCTAAAGAACAACCTTTATTAAATTCCTAAGATAGAATTTCTCATTCTTCATGAGAAATACAATTTGATTTCTTACTCATCTAAAGATATCTTTATCATCATAACTTAATGCTGGATAGTTTGCTAGATATTAAATTCTAAAATGAAAATAATCTTTCTCTAAAAATGGAAAGATATCACTTTTCTGTCTTCTAGCATCCAGTGTTGTTTTTAAGAAATTTGATGCCATGACTTGTGATCTTTCATTGATTTCTCAGTGATCTCTCTCTGGGGATGTTTAAGATCTTTTTACCTCTGTTTATTTGTTAGCATAAAGTTTGCCATGGGAAATGTAGTGGGTTATCTTAATATAGTAATTTATGATCTTCAGTTCTGGGAAATTTTATAGTATAATTTCTTCAATAACCTCTATTTTTTTCTTTCTCTTTTGGGTCCTATCTCCCTCTGCTAAAGTCAACTAAGTAGTCATGTTAATTATGTATGTCAACAGAATCCTTTGCCAAATAAGGCAGTCTGTTAATATTTTCCTGGACTGAGACAGAATCTTCTTGGGAGCCAAAATTCTGCCTACCACACCCTCTTTTGAATTATCATTACCGACTTCATATTTTCATTTCCAAGTGCTCTAAATGTTATTCTTTAATTTTTTAAATTATTTCTTTCTAATTTAATGGATGCATTATTTTGTCCTTTCTGAGGATCTCAGTTATTAGTTGTGCCCATGCACATGAGTTTAACTCTTCTGCTCCCCACTTTGTTTTTTTTTTCAACCAAGTTTTTCTTCTTTTTTTTTTTTTCTTCTTTTTTTTTAAATTTATCTTTCATATTGTATGCTATCCTGCTATCCTCAAATGTCTGGCAACCATCTGTTTATATTTAAGAGTAAACTTTGTTTATCTTTTCTCATCAGAACAGTATGTCTGCTCTCTCTATGATGAATGCCACCCTTAAATTCTTTCAGATTATAAACCTCTAATTTTGAAAGGAAGGAAGGTGGGTACTCACGGTTTCATATCCAGACTTTCAACCATTTCACTCTGCTTAGCCTCTGTGTATGTTCCCACTAACTTCACCTAATGGCACTGGGTGACTTTTATCTGGGACCTCTCCGGGGTCCAGGGAATAATCACTTGGCTTTTTTCTCTCCTAGGACTTTCTCCTCTTAGGTACATAGGTTTTGCTTCCTCCATTCTGTTTATTCTATCTTTCATATTTTTATTCTGCATCCATTCTCTGTTCTTTGGTTTAGGTTGCTTGTCTTTTTCAAATCTGTTTTTTTCCCTTATTCTGTGACTTATTTTTTGAGGAACATGACCAGCTGGCCATGTTTAATGAAAAAACCGTATGCTATTTTTTAGCTTGCTATTTTTTTCCAAATGATAACATAAGCATTTTTCAAAGTTGTTAAAACCATGCACAGTGTTTTCAAACATTCTTCATGCATCTGGAAATGCTTATGACTCTATTTTATGTAAACTTAATAATTTATAAACCCCATATTTTAATGTACATTTAAATTGTTTAACTCTTAAAAATATTTTTGCAGTTATAAAATTGGGTCCTGTAGAGAGCATTACTGGGCACAGATCTTTGTTTCTTTTACGTAGATTTTTAAAACACAGTTACTAAGAGCTAAGTATAGAGCACTTAAAAAATGAATGGAAAACAAATAAAAAAATGGAAAGATTAATTTAATAAATGCCTGTATATCTACTGTTCAACTCTTATCAATTCCTGAACAATTCTATTTCTATCCTTGTCCACTACCTCTTCTCTAAATTAGTTTGATGCAAATGCCTGACATCACTTCATTTCCATAAATACTTCAGTATGTTTATTCTAAAAGATAAGGACTCTTTAAAAAGAAAAGCCCATAATATTGTGTATAAACATTTTAAAGAAAACATCTGCTTTTCAAATTCTTACTAGTTTAGTTCATATAATCTGTTATATAAAGCTTTCCTTCCATTACTGTCCTGTAGCCACCACATTTGCTTCCTCAGAAGCATCCAAGATTATCACGTTATTATAAATTCTGTTTGGGATTTTCCATATATATATGTATACATGATGGTGTGTGCATATAATAGCAGTGTTATATTTGTGTTTTATGCATTTGTTTTTCCTCCTTCCATCCCTTCCTTCCTCTTTCTTTTTTTAAAATTCACATTTTTAAGCTTTTTGAGTCTTTCATTTTATGGCCTTTGGGGCCAAGATATAGTACGGTGAATCAGGGAGATCTCTCACTTTGGGATCTGTCAGTACTTTTCTGTCAGTACTCATCTTCTTTAATCTTTTTAGTCTATTTTAAAAATGAGTATCCAGGGCCTCCCTGGTGGTGCAGCGGTTGAGCGCTGGGCTGCGAAGCTGCCCACAGACTCTGCAGCGCCAGTTCAATCCCTGGCCACCCGCGAGGGTCCCACATGGCACGCAGACCTCTCCTGCCGTGCCCGCTGCTCCCCTCAGCAGTGCATTTTGTCAGTCTGTCTGTTCTGCTCCCCACTCTGGCTCTGGTGAATCCTCTCACCCTCCCACGCTTCTGACTGTACCCAATGCTTGTATAAATAAATAAATAAATAAATAAAATCTTTAAAAATGAGTATCCTAAAATACTGCCCTTAACCACCTGTATGTTAAGCAATATACAAGATATCAAAAGAACCCTCCTTTCTCCATAAGATTAACCAATTGTTCTAGTACCATACAGTATTCACAATAAACTAGTGTAGTTGCCACTTTAAGAAATATTTCTTGGGCCTCCCCGGTGGCGCAGCGGTTGAGCGCTGGGTTGCGAAGCTGCCCACGGCCTCTGCGGCGCCGGTTCGATCCCCGGCTGCTCCCCGGCCACGGGAGGAGGGTCCCACATGGCGCGCAGACCTCTCCTGCCGCCCGCTGCTCCCCTCAGCAGTGTACTTCGGTCCTTCTTCCTGCTCTGCTCCCCATTCTGGCTCTGGTGAATTCTCTCACCCTCCCGTGCTTCTGACTGTACCCAGTGCTTGTATAAATAAATAAATTAATTAAATTAAACAAATCTTTAAAAAAAAAAAAAAAAAAGAAATATTTCTTAATATAATGTCTCCACAACCACATCTACATTATTTACCATTTTGTCCCCAGTGTTCTACATGGTGCCTGACACATTGTGATGCTAAAATAAATATTTGTGGAATAAAGAAAATAATTAAAAACTATGCAATGGTTTTAAAGAGGAGACAAGGTACACGTAGTTGAATTTTCCTAAGCATAGTGTATGCATTCCTTATTTCCAAAATACATAGATGAAATCCTTTAGAATACAAAGATGAAGGCAGTAGTACAGGGCATTACGGATGATATTCCAAGGGAACACATAGCAAGGAGAATTCGATTAAGATGAGTACATAATGCTTGCACAATCAGCACCACAGCCTTCCTATTGTTTATTACCACTAAAATGCTGGTGACCCCCAAATGAGTGTGTTTAGTTTTCTCTCCTGAGCTTCAGACTCCCCATCAAATGTATATTTACTTGGTTATCCAAAAACTCAACTTACCTTCTCCTGGAAACCTGGCTTACTTAGTGAAAGTCATCTGTGATTCATTCCACTTTTTCATTCTTTATATAAAATCATTCTCCTACTACTTCCACTTTTAATTTCCTTTAGCCCTGTTTATATCTGCCAGTGTATGCTGCTACTTGCCTGCCCTCTTATCATTTGTGGTTTGAATTAAAATCAACTACTTGGTTCAAGAGTTTCCATCTCCCTTGCTTACCTCTACCTGTTTTCCAGAATGAGCTTCTAAAACACAGATCTGATTATTTGTCCTCTGCTTATTCTAGTGACTTTTTATTGCCAAATGTTAGACTTAAGCTTCTTGGTATGGTATAAATACCTTTCTTCTCACCAATCCACCTTCACCTTTGAATGCTGCTCCTTAGCTATGACCTGTCCGCATTTGCCTTCCATAACTTTATTCATTTTAAAAAAAGTCCTGATCTCTTCCTATGACTCAATGGGGTCATCTACACCTTGTTCCTTTAAATCCCATGTGCCTCCTCATGCTCCTATGTATACCTTATTCATATTGGTACCCTTTATCACATTTCACTCATGGATCATACAGCATCATAAAAATGTTCTATTTGTCTGTCCTAGTCCATGCTAAGTACTTCTATGTGCGTCCACTGTCTAACTGTGAGATATTGAATGATTTCCAAGCATTAGTTCTCTTATTTCCTTTATTCTACAGGCAGCTGCAGGAAAAAATGCTTTGATTCATCATATAGAGGACTGGAGAACTGCCGGTGTGATATGGGATGTAAAGGACGAGGTGACTGTTGCTGGGATTTTGAAGACACCTGTGTGGAATCAAGTATGTATTCTGAGAATGCCTTTGGGAACATGTTGGTTGTGCTATCATGAATGCATGTTCAAATACTCTCCCAGATAAGCTGTGTGTCAGTTTGCTAGGGTTGCCATGACAAAGTACGCAAATAACAGAAACTCATTGTCTCACAAGTTTGGAAGCTAAGAGTCCGAGATCTAAATTTTGGTAGAGTGGATTCCTTCTGAAGGCTGTAAGGGATGATCCATGCCTCTGTCCTAGCTTCTGGTAGGCTGCTCATAAGTTTTGGTGTTCTTTGGCTTGGGAAATATAACTCCAGCTGTGCCACATCTTCACGTGATGTTTTCCTTACATCTCCTTTGTGCCCAAATTTTCCTTCGAGTGAGTATACTAGGTACATTGGATCAGAACTCATCTAAGTGACATCATTTCAACTTCATTATCTACATAGATCCATTTTCAAATAAGATTCACAGATGGTGGGTGTTAGGACTTCAGCATTTTTTGGGAGAAACAATTCAACCAATAAAACATTATTATCATTATTGTTATTATTTTACATTTTAAAAGGACAGGTTTACTAGGAAAAGGAGAAAGAAAAAGAGAGGCACCCGCGCAGTCACAGTGGAGGCAGGGGAGCTGCTCAACCAGTAACACCTTAAATATAGAACCTATTATTTCTCCCTTACTGTACTAAATGCAGAGTTCACACCTTACTTACTTGAACTTGAAATGTAACAGTCCAGGGCCTCCCCGGTGGCGCAGCGGTTGAGCGCTGGGTTGCGAAGCTGCCCGCGGCCTCTGCGGCGCCGGTTCGATCCCCGGCTGCTTCCCGGCCACCAGAGGAGGGTCCCGCATGGCGCGCAGACCTCTCCTGCTGCCCGCTGCTCCCCTCAGCAGTGTACTTCAGTCCCTCTGCCTGCTCTGCTTCCCGCTCTGGCTCTGGTGAATTCTCTCACCCTCCCGCGCTTCTGACTGTACCCAGTGCATGTATAAACAAAAACAAACAAATAAAGAAAGAAAACATGCCTCTATTAAAAAAAAAAAAAAGAAATGTAACAGTCCACAGTAAGGGAAATGCTGCATGGTTATATCAATTTCAGTGAGGTTTTATCAAGCCTGAAGTTAATCATCTTATTTAGTTTCATTTGCAGTGGTTCTCAAATTTCAAGATGTGTGAGACTCACTGGAAAACTTGTTAACTCTAAGTGATTCTGATGCCAGTATTTGACAGAACACAACTTGAGAAACACTGTTGTCTTGGTGGAAGACAATTTGCAAGGCTTAATTTTCCAAGAAATCAGAGAAGGTTGTGAAAGGGGAAAGTATGGGTTTAGTGGTTTGAGTTGAGTGAAGATTTGAACAGTAGAGTTCCTTACACTACGCTCTCTGAAAAGGCAAGAGAAAGGGGATTACCCGGTAGAGATAATATCTGAGTTTCCTTTACTTAATCTATTTAATTTCCAAAAGTCTTTTCTTTCTAAGTAAATAATAAATAATGGGGAATGAAGAACTATATGCACAATGGAACCACACACCAGTCACCTCTCCAACAAAGCACAGAACTGATATTCATTTTAATCACTGTTTCCTAACAGGTGGCAACAGGAAGAAGCCTTGTTCCAATGTCTTCTTGTTCTTAGCATTAGAATTTACTTAATCTTATTTCATACTAATTCCACAGCCTGGGAAAACACCAGACTGTGGTATGGAACTAATCTGCCATTTCTGTCACATCAGCTGGGAGGTACCCTGACCGTGTCCACTCCTATAGGCCTGACTGTGGTCTTATTGTTTTTGCTGTCATTGTCTCTTCCTTGCTACTAGTCCTTCAATAGGGCTGAACAAAGCTGCTCTTGAGTGGCAAAAGTCATTTGAGCCAAGCGGTTCTTCACCTTGAGTGGGCCTAAGCTCAGTGTTCAGTTTCTCCAAATTCAGAGGTTTACTTGCTAGGTAGATCAGAGCTGCACTTTGTAAATCTGCATCTCTCTCTGCCACCTAAATGAATAGGAGTGTTGCGTTGTCCCTCATTTGTATTATACATCTTGTTTTATTGATTCAGATAAGCCAAGAATTTAATAGGTAAGTAAGCATAAATAATACAGGTAAATAAGCATAAAATTTGTATTTGTGGTACCAGCTATATAAATGCTTAGAACTGAATTGTATAATTTTACAGCTCAAATATGGACATGCAATAAATTTCGTTGTGGGGAGACCAGACTACAGTCCAGCCTTTGCTCTTGTTCAGATGACTGTTTACAGAGGAAAGACTGCTGCACTGACTATAAAAGTGTTTGCCAAGGTAAGCAGAAGATGTGAACTCCTGGCTTTATGAGTTCAGTGACCCTAAAGCTGGCTTAGTCTGTAAAAATTAAAAAAAATCAGAGAATCTTCATCTACTTCATGTAGGAGAAAAGACCAAATGTGTTTATTGTAGGAAGAGATGTGGGGGTTTTGTGTGTGTGTGTTTATAATTGAGAGGGTTTTTTTTTATATTTATCATTCCAAGGGTTTATAGGAAATGGCTTCCAGCATCTCAGGCTCCTTTCTGGGTTCACACAAAGTGTGCTTCTCTTGGTAGAACAGGCAGCTACTTCATTTGTACTCAAGTGCTTTTCTCTTTGGCTTCCTTTTTTCTGATCACTTCCCCTCACACATTTCATGAAGCTATCTTGGCTCTTTGAGGGCTTAATATGTTCAATATGAATATTCTCTGCAAGAATCTTGCCCTTTACTTGTTTACATCAATGCCAACTGCATTCTGGGTCCACAGTGTGGACTCTCTCAGGTTTGCCATGGTAATGCTTGTGGGACATTCCTTTTTGAACAGTGCCCATCCCCTTAATGTCTACAATTCCACCTTTTGTTAATTCACAAGTTTGTGGCCAAAACAACTCTGTGTTTTCTAAAAGGTCTTGAGAAACAATATATAGCAGGTGCCTCTCCTTTTTCCTTGTGGTTTGATTATTTTGGGGAGTTACTGAAAGATGGTGGTTCTGGTTGAAAGGAAGGAAGAAATGTGTTTTGTGACTAGAAAAGGAGGGAAGAGCATTACATAGATATTATATAATAGAAGGGAAAGTTAAAGTTTGATATTCATCTGCAAGGCCAGGTCTTTTTCTGTTCAGTAACTATGCTAGATCTACTTGTGATTTGAGATACCACATGACAGGTCCTACAGTTAACAATAATGAAAATGGTCATCTGGTGTGCATATCAATCCCGTATTGTTACCTTTGAAACAACTGTGTCCTGAGTGGTTAAATTACTCATAGGACCCTCAGAGAGTTGATGTGGAGCCAAAATTAGAATCCAGGTTACTCAACTGGTTCCACCTGCTTGCTCCTTTGTAAGTGATATAGATTTTTAAAAATCATCAATCCTTCTGCAGATCTGAAATTTATGAAAATTTACACAATGTACATATCAAGAAAGTTGCTTCAAGATAACAATCCCTTTTCCATAATGCCACACGCCATGGAGCTAACTTGCTTACCCTTTTAATACTTTTAAATAGAAAAAGAGATTACGTGAATTTTGATTTTTTTTTTTTGAATAGGAGGAAATTTTAAAGTAGAAACATTAACTATAATCTTAATAGAAAATAGGTTTGCACTAATAGATGGATCAATTTTATATAAAATGCAATTAAGAATCAGCTAAAAAGATCCATCAGAAAGGAGAATAAAAACCTGAAATGGTGTTTTTTAAAATAACAATTATTTGATATAGAATAGTGATTATTGTATCATGAAAAATTCCTTTAAATTCATAAAGTCAAGTAGACTTTTTTATTTTTTTATTTTATTTTATTTTTATTTTTATTTTTTATTTTTCTTATTTATCTAACAATTTCATGGACCATATACTGCCTTTAATATCTGTATTTTCTTGCTTTTTACCTCATTTTATAACTCAACATTTTATTCCAAGATTGAGCCTCGGGTCATGTCAAAATTCCCATTGAATTCACTATGCAATATTGCTTGAATTCATAAGAAATGAAAGTCACTGTTGTAAGCAGTGTTGAAGTTTAACATTGCCACTGTTTGGTTATGTGATGGGGATTCATTTAGTCATTTCAATTTACTTTTGAAATAAATGTAAATGTTTTCTGATTCTAGGGATTTAACATTATATGTAAAAATGTTAGATGATTTTTGCCAAAATTAAATCATAAAGGTAGGTTGAGGGGATTTGAATAATTTTTGTGAGAGATGCCAATTAATTTATATTTTAAATTTAGAACTTAAAAAAACTTGACAATTAATTTCTCATATCTACAAATGAGAGAATAGCATGTTTTCCCCGTATGTCTATTATCTGGCTTCAGCAATTATTAACTCATGGCCATCTTATCTCATATTGACAACATGTAATTTTCAAAAAGACTCATGAATGTAAAGTGAGCACATCAAAACATTAGTAACTCATTAATAATTATTAATAATTATTATTAATTAACTCATTATCTCATTAGTTAATTATTAATAATTATTAATAATAATTAACTCAATGTTAAACTGCCTCAAAGAGAATTGAAGAGATAAAATACTTATAGGGCTGAAAGAATATTGGAATAGTCACTAAAACTGTAATTTTTGGTGGTACAAAAATGATTGGCATTTCTACAGGACAACTTATTTGCTATCAAACAAGAATGTTAGGTTGCTGTTAGTTTTCTACCAAGTATCTGCTATCTTTACTGAGTTGTAAAATGTGTGGTAAAGAATAACCTAGATAAGTCATGTACCCATAATTTATGGGATAATCCATATAGAGGTTTTTAAGATAATTCCCAGCGTGATATTAAAATGAAGGTTTGTGAGCAATCCTCCCCTTCTTTTGTTTATTTTCAAGTTTGGGGTTTTTTTCCTTAAAAAATATGCACTTTATGCTCCTTGTGCTGCCCCCTCAATTTTAGACTATTTTGAAGCAAATTCTAGAGTTAGTATCATTTATTTATAAATTTTCAGTATATATATTTTTAAAAAAGAGAATTTAAAAATTATACCATTAATACACATAAAATCTCACTGATAACTGGGCCTCCTTGGTGGCATAAGCAGTTGAGCACAGCGCTGTGAAGCTGTCCGCTGCCTCTGCAGTGCTGGTTTGATCCCCGCCAGCCTCGGAGATACTCACATGACCCAGCAGACCTCTCCTGTCTCGCCAGTTGCTCCCCTCAGCAGTGTATTTCAGTCAATCTGCCTGTTCTGTTCCCCACTCTGTCTCTGGTAAATCCTTTCACCCTCCCACACCTCTGGCCTGTACTTGTATAAATAAATAAATCTTGTATAAATAAATAAATCTTTAAAAAAATGAACCATTGACACCCAATTATGTTTTTAAAAAATCTCATTGATAAGTATTACTGTCATCAAATATCTAGTTTTCATCATATTTTTTTCTGATTATTATCATATTTTTTAAAAAAGCTTGAAGTAGACTCAGTGGATTCATTTAAAAGTAGGTTCTCTCTTCCTCTTTTGTTCCTTTTGCAACTTACATGTTGGAGAAATGGGATCATTCTTTCTGAGTCTGAGTTTTGCAGATGCATACCTCATAACATGGAAGCAGTTTGTCATTCCCTGTAATTCCTAGAAATTGGTGTTTAGGACCAGAAGACTGTTCAGATTCAGGAGAATGCATGTATACATGTATGCATTCAATAAGTTTGCTTTTTAGGTGGTGGCACATTCGTCAAGAGGCACAACTTGTCTAATTGTCTCCCTTTCTGGGATGTTAGCCATTGGTGATCATTGTCTAGATCCATTAGGGGTTGTAAATAATGACATTCATAGTCTACCACTTCCATTTCATTAATTAGCTGGAATGTTCCATATACAGAAATATCTATGGAGTAGAAATTTTTAAAATGAAGATCTTCACAATTTGTAATCCCTCCCCCCCCCCCCATTTAATGCCAGTTATTCTCATTGTGATTTTCTTCATGCTTTCTTTTCTTTTTTTGGTTTAAATTGACTACAGTAATTAAACTAATTTTTTAGCACTTGAGAAAAATTGCCATAAAGGAAAATATTTTAAAAAGTGAGAAGAAATTTTTCCTTTCCAGCTAGAGAACTTCCCTTGCTTTTTCCTGATAAACATGAGCTGCCAGGTATTCAGTTAGTGCAGATCAGTAGAGGAACTGATGTTGCCAACCTGTGAATATATTATGAGGAATTTAGTCATTGAAGTAACATGAATTAAGTAGTTTGGAAAGAACCATGTTTATTGAACATTTGTTTTGTTTTTATTTTCTTGTCTGTGGTGCAGCACTCTAAAGATTTTGATCTCATGCTTTTCAGGAGAAACTCCATGGGTGAAAGAGGAGTGTGCCACCATCCAGAAGCCTCAATGTCCAGAAGGGTGAGAACATGTGGGGATTTTTAGCAACTGGCACAAGGGAATGTATCAATCACTGAGAGGAAGGGAGGAATTTCCTCCTCTCTTGACTTTTAAACAAAATGTTGGCAAAAAAGATTCCTCATGTTTTCAAATTCATTGCAGGCTTTTGTTTTTCTTCATTATTTGCAAAGCACTTTTATATCAACTTGTTATATTCCTGTCTTACAAGACTTAAAAAAAATGGTTAAAGAATTAAATCCTAATATTCCCAAGGTCAGGGCCAGAATTTAGATTACTCCAGCCAGAACTCCTTTCCATAATTACCCGGTACCTCAAATTTACTCTTATTGAGGAACAAGCAAAGGTTTATTAAAGGAAGGCTTCACAATAAAGGGAGGACTGTGAAGGATGAGTAGGAGACTGCTAGGTGGCACAGGTGATGAATTCTGGACGGTACAGCCCCATAGCCCACCGCCCCCTGCAGCTCCTGCACTTGATGGCTGCTCCCGGATTTTCTCAGCTCTGGAAACATGTCCCATGTTTCCTAAGAGTCCGGGTCCATTTCTCCTTTTCACCAGTTGCCATTTATTTCTGCTACTGCCTACATTACTCTTCTGTTCCAAGAACCGGGTGGATAATGGTGAGATACAAGACGGAGGAGGGAATACCTGACAATAGAAAGAATCGGTGGAAGCATTTTTACATAGCAGTTTTCCCTTAAAGAAATGTGTGTGGAAGAAAATGTGTTTTTGTACTGTGCTATTTTGGTATCACCCAGTTCTCAACTTTTCTACAGCTTCTAGGTGGAAGAGCAAATAATTTTATAATAAAAGGGAGGTTTGAGTCCTGACTTGTACTAGCCACTTCTAAGCCTCATCTATAAAATCAAAATAATAATAATGTCAAGTTCAGATCATTTAATATGAGAATTAAGTCAACATCATCATCCCATGGATGTTTGACACTGTGTTTAGGCTGCAAGATTATTGTGATGCCATGTTTATGAATATTAAGTTTTTAATCAGCATTATGCTAATGGCAATGAAAAAATATGTATTTTCTAATGCTAATGGCAGTTGACCACTTTAATTTTTTTTGTGAATGTCTACACTTTATAGTTAAGACTCTCACTTTCCATTCTTATTTTTTCATGAAGGTATAGTGCATATCCATTGAAATGTTCATACTAATATGTATAATATAATGAAATTTTTAAATTCGTAAATCTCTATAACCCACAGATATATTCTCAGGTATAGAATCTTTCCATCACCACAGAAAGATAACTTATGTTGTGATAGCTATCAATATAGATTCTAGTTTTAGAATTTCTTATAAAAAGAATGATACCTTATGTTCTCTTGTGTCTGGGTGTTTTGTATTTTTTTTCTTAGCACAATATTTTTTAGACTCATAAATGATATCACAGGTATTGTATCTCTCACATGTGCTGCTGTGGTTGGGCACGTGGCTACCTTATGGCTGGTGCCTTGCAGGGTTCCTGGGTGTTCCTGATGGGTGGGGGGCTAGGTGTGGTTCTTTTACCCACCTGGGGCAGCGCTGCCAATGGCTGGTGTGGGAAGGCAGGGGCTCCCTTATGTTCCTGATGGATGTGGGATGTACAAAGGTTAAACTTGACATTCTGTGTACTATGGCGACCGATACTCAAATCTATCCTGTAACCACTTCTGTTTACTTCTCAGTTTCACTGCCTAGATAAGGACTGCAATTTCTTTATGCTTTTTATTCTCAATAAATTGCTCAACATCTGACTCAAATACCTTAAAATTAATTACACTACAATAAGTGCATAATCTGGGAAAGCAAATAAACTATCTTTCAGCATCTTCCATTTCTTTTACAACATGGAATTAAATGGCTATATTGATTTTTTCTAGTTTTGCTAAAGCACATTTAAAATCTAAAACATTCTTATTTCCAGCTGGTATCAGCACTCAGAATTTTCTTTTTGTCAGAATTTTTAAAGACATCCTAACCAAATTTTTGGAAAGTATGTTTTAGTTCAAAATTTTATTTATTTTTTTTGTTTCATCCATATTTTATTTTATTTTTAAATATTTTATTTTTTACATCATTGTTCATTTTTAAACAATAGTAGCTTCCCCCTACCCCCTCAGCTATAGCCCCCATAGAGTTTCCTCCACCAATACACCCATGCACCATCACCACAGTCCCCTGTGCTCCTCCCTGCCTCCCTCTGATCTTAGTTCAAAATTTTGTGTGTGAAACTGCTTGAGCATGGAGTTGAAAATAATTTCTTTTTACATACTCACTAGCATGCACTGTTTGGAATTTAGACACACTTACCCTGTTTATGGTTGTTCTTCCTAATAATCCTAAACTGGAAAGGACCCACATACTATCAACTGTGTAATGAATAAGTTTTGCTAATATTCTGTTTCTTAATATGGGTGATGGCTGCAAAATGGAGTTCATTTAGGAAAATATTATATAATGCTACATCTTCAAATTTTGTGATTGTGTACATAAAATACAAGTAAAATGTAAAAAGTGAAAAAAAAAACCTGAGAAAAGACAGTATCTAACTATAACCACAAAGTTACTTTCCATCATTTTAAATTATGCTGGGTCTAAAAAAAGGGAGATCGGGATACTTTTGAAGTGATATCAATATCCTGAGATATTAGAGTAAAAAGTCAAAAAAGTAGAACCTCAGAATAAAACATCTCAAATGATAAGGTTGTGAAATTCTGTATCATAATCATATCCAAAAGTTGGTAGAATAATTGTAACTTCAATAATTTTCGAGTTTGAAATTTGAATTCAGTCTTGGCTTCTTAGCCAGGGCCAGGGCTAAGAAAGGTCTGCAGTGTAAAATCCCAGTTCTGGTGATGTTTTGCTAATGTTGTGCTTGTGTGTTACTGACATCTATTGCAAAACTACAATTAACTCCATGTGTTCTTACCACTGCATGTCATAGATAGCCCCTGCCAAAGAGTAAATGGAAATAAAGTTAGCCAAAGTTTTTTAAACTGTAGAATTCTAAGGGTGGTAGTTTTCAAAGTTGAAAGACCCAGATAATTTACGCAACACTTTAAAAAAATATTTTTGTTAGGGATTACTAATGTACTCAAAGTACTGGCTCTTAAGGAAGGTAGCAACTTTTTTTTTTAAATGAAAGAAACTTGACCACATCTATATTATTATTGTACTTTTTAAGCATTTTATTTATTTATTTATTTTCAAGATTTATTTATTTATGCATATAAGAGCTGGGGTATAGGTGAAAGGTGTGGGGAGGGTGAGAGGATTCACCAGAAACAGAGTGGAGAACAGAACAGGCAGATTGACTGAAGTACACTGCTGAGGAGAGGAGCAGCAGGCGAGTCAGGAGAGGTCTGCTGTGCCATGTAGGTTGCTCCCTGGCTAGCTGGGGAATCGAACTGGTGCTGCAGAGGCTGTGTCTTAACCCCTTGCACCACCAAGGAGGCCCTTCTAAGCATCTTTTAATTTAGAGAATTTTAGGAGGTGCAGAAAAGTGTCTATTTTTTTTCAATCAAAATAATGGGCTTTTTTTGCTTGTTTGTTTTCCATTTTCAGATTTAACCTGCCACCCGTTATTTTGTTTTCCATGGATGGATTTAGAGCTGAATATTTACAGACATGGAGTACCCTAATGCCTAATATTAACAAACTGAGTAAGTGTTCTGCCAGAGGCATGCAAATGACAACCCCTCACTGGTTGGTCTCTAGATGGCACCTTGCTTTCTGACCTTTACCCTTAGTGGCTTCTTGGCCCAGCTCCTAACATGTTCCTGATGACTTTACCACATGATATCAATCTTCATGATCTTTGGCCACTCCTTCCACTTTGGGTGGCATGTTTATCTTTTTGTTTCTTTGTTTTCATTTGTTTTGTACTTGAATACATCTTCAATTGTATGGAAATCTGTTCACTTACACCGTCTCAAAAGTGGTGTTTGTCAGACCTGGAATCTGTATTTCAGCAAGATGAATATGACCAAGAAGGATAGGATCCTGAAGGAATCTTAGTAGACTGGGCAGAATCAGCACAAACCATCACTCCAGAAGGCAAAGAGCCCAGTATCTATGTCTTGTTCTGGAATCATCATGTCTTGACCCTGGCTCTCTACCACTGACTAGCTGTGAGACCTCAGTCTGGTTTACCTAGCTTCTTGGTGCCCCAGACTTTTCATCTGCAAAATGGTCGCATATACCTTACAGGAATACTGTGCAAATATATATAGATGTACATTTTATTTCCAGCTGTAAAACAGCATGGTTATAGGAAGATACACTACTTACCCCTGCAAGGGTGTTTTGTTTCTTTAGCTTCTCTCTCACTCACTGAGATAAAACTTTAGCAAAGGGATGAAGAAGTTGGGACTCTGACAGAAATGTCTCCAAAAAGGACTTATCACTTATCATTGAATTATTTTGACCTGGGAAGTTAATTAACACCTTACTGTTTCATTTTCCTTATCTGCATTTCTTTTATCAAATTCTGGATATCAAATTCTGTCCAAAAGAGAATTTGACTATCCAGGCTATACTGAACTCCTTTTGAAATAGAATCATTCGACTTGTTCATTCTATGCAGAGTTGGAAAGGACACAAGTGAAACGTTGAACCATTGAGAGCTTTCCCCTTTCTAAGGTTTAATTTTTTTTTGTAAGTCAGCCAGCCAATATCTCAATCCTTTAATGTGTGAAGATATTGCTAACTAAGTCTACCAAAGCAAAATGTGCTCAGTTTGTAGAAGACCCATTTAAGAGTAGATCTGGTGGAAGAATGAGGACCTTGTAAGAATGTTAGACTTAAAGTAAAGAATGTGACAGCAGACCTTTGTTTTCCTTGCTGTAGCTAAGTTCCCAAACCTCACTGAAGCCAATGTCATGAAGTGTTTTGCTTGTGTTTTCTTGTATGTTTATGATTTCAGGCCTTACATCAGTTTTTCATACATTTTGAATTTATTTTGTGTGTGTGGTGTGAGATAGTGGTCTACTTTCATTCTTTTGCATGTAGTTGTCCAATTTTCTCAGCATCTTTTGTTGAATAGACTCTCTTCATTGTATATGTTCTTGGCTCCTTTGTCCTAAGTATAGGTTTATTTCTGGGCTCCAAATTCTATTCCATTGATTGATCTATGTGTCTGTTTTCATTCCAATATCACATTGTGTTTTGATTACTATTGCTTTGGGCCTACACCCCAGTTCTTCTACACAAAGTCAAACACACACACAAACAAACAAAACCCCCTCTATGTTCATCAGTAATATTGGCCTACAGTTATATTTTCTTATGTCTGTTTGGTTTTGGTATCCGGGTAATTCTAGCCTTGTAAAAGGAGTTTGGGTGTGTTCCTTATTTTTAATATTCCTTATTTTTAGTATTTTAGTTTGAGAATGACTGGCATTAATTCTTCTTTAAATGTTTGGTAGAATTCCTATAAAAGTGATCTGGTTCTGTGCTTTTTGGAATGCTTTTGATTATTGATTCAATTTTCTTATTAGTTGTAGGCCTTTTCACACTTTTTATTTCATGATTCAATTTTGGTAGGTTGTGTTTCTAAAGATTTATCCATTTTCTTCTAGACTATGTGGATTGCAGGATATAATTTTTCTTATGATCCTTTTTATTTTTAGTAGTATTGGTAAAATGTCTCCTTTTGCATTGCTGATTTCATTTCATTTATTTGAGTCTTCCCTCTCTTTTTTCTTTTTTCCCCCAACAATATTTGTTTATTTATCAATAGAAATTATTCCTTAGCCCAAATATTAATGTTTCATAGTCCAGGAACACGAGTAAGTGGGAAGCTTCCACAGACGTCAAGCCAAAGAAATCATCTATTTTTTTTTAAAGATTTATTTATTTATTTATTTATTTATTTATTCAAGAACCGGGGTACAGGCCAGATGCGCTGGAGGTGAGAGGATTCACCAGAGACAGAGTGGGGAACAGAACAGGCAGACTGATGAAATACACTGCTGAGGGGAGCAGCGGGACCGGCAGGAGAGGTCTGCGCGCCATATGGGACCCTCGCCTGCAGTCGGGGATCAAACCGGCACTGCAGAGGCTGCGGGCAGCTTCACAGCCCAGCGCTCAACCGCTGTGCCACCAGGGGAGGCCCAATCCTCTATGTTTTAAGATCACTTTGCACCCTGAAAGATACCAGTCTTCCTCAGCATCTCAAAATCTTTCCTAGGATCATATTTCCTCTAGAAATTTGCACATGCCTTCTTTTTTGGTTCAGCCAGTGCAAACTTATAAAAAGCTGCAACCCCCAGGGATACAAAGATGCTCCAACAATATGAAATTACAGATGCTTGATCAGAAGGCCTGGCAGCTGAGGTTTCAACAAAGCACTGGAAATCATGGTAGTTATTTTCTTCCACAGAGAGACATCCTTCCATATATTTTTTAAAGGTTTATTTTTTTATTTATGCATACAAAACTGGAGTGCAGGCCAGAGGTTCGGGGTTGGGGGTGAGAGGATTTACCAGAGACAGTGGGGAGCAGAACAGGCATATTAACTGAAATACACTCCTGAGGGGAGCACTGGAGAGATAGGAGAGGTCCACTGTGCCATGTGGGTTAGCTCCCTGGTCAGGGATCCAACTCAGGCTGCAGTGGCTGGCTATAGCTTGATAGCACTGAGACTTTAACCCCTGAGTCTCCAGGGAGGTCCCTGTCCTTCCATATTGAAGGATAAATGGAGAGTTTTCTTTCTTAGTCTAGCTAAAGGTTTATGGAATTTTATCTTTTCTAAAAAACAACTAAATTTTGTTGATTTAAAAAATTGTTTTTATATTCTCTATTTCATTTTTTTGTGCTCAAATATATATTGTTTCTTTCCTTCTGCCAACTTTGGGTTTTGTCTGTTCTTCTAGTTTCTTGATGTATAAAGTTCGTTTACTTCAAAATTTCTTTTTTTGTAAAATAAATGTTCATTGTTGTAAACTTCTCTCCTAGTACTGTTTTTGCTGCATCTGTACATTCTTTATCTGTTTCACTTAACTATACATTTTGTCTTTTGCTCCTTCTAGTAGTTTGTAGGCATTATGGGGATATATTTATCCCATTATTTATATCTTTAGAATTTTTTTTGGTGGCACTTTCCTTTTTAAAAAAAAATTAAGGAGTAAATCATGCAAATGATAAACATTTCAAAAACAATGTTGCAGGGTAGATAGTTAAAAAATAAAAAACTACCAAAAAAACCCTTTTATCCTGATCATCTTAGTTTTTATTTTGTGCCCTTCTAGAATTGTTATTATTATTCCATTTGGTCATAATTTTATTTTATTAAGATATAGAAGAAACAGTGATAGATCTTGCTTTCTTTGCACTACTACAGTAGCTCTGATTCAAATGAATGTGATCCAAGATGGTAACCTGAGTGTATAGTCAGAAGAGGTATCCTGTTTAGGGCATTGTAGCTAGGGAAGTGTCCTATTTTTACACTAATGGCATCTTACTTTGTATTATTTTATGTTGCATCAGGCAACAACACACTGTAAAGAAACAGGACTCATGGAGCAGGGTACATAATGCAGGATGCTGCTGAAGAGCAAGATCCTGGCCTTTTTATTGATTTACAACATCAGTTGTAAGGGGGAAGAGCAAAAGGAAAAGAGAAGGAGATTAAGGGGAAGAAGACTAAAGAAAGGGGAAGAATGTAGAAGATCAGGGATTGTGAGTCTGCCCTCCATGCACTTCTAATATGCTTGATAACTCAGTATTGTCATTTAGACCAAGCCCTAATTCCTCCCCACCTTGGTTTTAATCTTATGCACTGATCAGCTTCTGAAGTCCCTTGTCATACACCATTCTCGGCCCGTCAGGCGTTCCCAGTCATACCTCGTGATGCATAGCCTTCCCAGATTGATCCAGCTTTGTGCTCGTGTTCGATTTGAAGGGAACCTTGCAGGCTTGGGCTCCTGTGCCGAGCCATTTTGACCTTGCCTAGGATTTAGAACTATAGGTGACAAAATGGTGGCTGAACAGGCCACTTAGGATTAGCAGACCCACAGTTTTACAACTTGATCTTTAGGCATTTAAGAATCTGATTGTGTCACCCATGTTTCAAGGAAATGAAAACAGACACTGACTTTATTTTACTTGAAAAATTTTCTTAAACATTGTTAATTTTTGTACAATATTTGATTTCTCCTCTCAGGTGTAGTCCCCATAAATCTCCCACCACCACATCACCAGTGATGTGAGCACCATAGTCCCTTGTGCTCTTCTCTTCCCTGTTTTGGCTCCTCTCCCTCCCCCCACCACTGCTGTAAGCCTCAGATCTATAGTTTGCCTGCTAATTTTGTCTTTTTTCCCTGACCCTTTATTTGGTTTCCTCATTTCCTCCTGTATGTGAAACCATCCTATATTTTTCTTTTTTCCTTCTGACTTATTTCACTGAGCATAATCCCTTTCAGCTCCATCCATGTTTCTGCAAATGGCATGAATTTATCCTTTTTGATTGCAGAGTTGTATTCCTGTATATGTGTGTGTGTGTGTGTACACACACACTACATCTTCTTGATCCATTCATTTGTTTTTGGGAATTTAGGTTGAGAAACTGATTTTTTATTTTTGCTCATTGTATGACTTTCCATCCATTTAAATTCTTTAAATGTTGTAAGTGCATTAGTTTTCATTTTCTTCTCTTGACTTCTAACTTTAAATGTATTTCTCCTTGAGGACAAAATTTTTTATTGGTAGTATTGACTAAAAAAGATAAAAAAGGTTATTTTAATCTTTAATTATACTTTTTGAATCAAGTCCTAGAGCAGGTTTCAAATGTAAGTACATCAGAATCACCTGTGGTGTTTGTTAAAACTACAGATTGTTTTGGGTTCCCTTTCCTTCATCTTTTACTCCAAATCCCCCATACCTAGCAGAATCTGATTTAGTGACTTGATATAGGGCCATAAAAGTTTGAAGGAGGAAATTCCTGCATCATATTAGAAACCTTGAACTAGGGTCTGGGAAGGAAACCAAATCTATGCTTATTTAAGAAAATAATCATTTCCAGCTGCAAAGTTTATTAGCAAATACTTTCTTCTTTTGTTTTAGCCTAAATAGAATTTTATAATAGTGAAGCTTTCTTTTAAAATTAGAGTTGATAGGATTTTAGTATGGAAAATTTCTGTATTTCACTGCTGCAGAGGAAATAGCAATGTGCTCTAGTGGTTTTGACCTAAAGCAGGGTTATTGCGCAGATGGAAAACAACAGAACAATTGAAAGCAAAATTAATGCCATGGTTTGTGTAAAACAGATCACAGGAAACTTCTGAGCAAATGGAAATTGTACTGAAAATAATAAGTAGTAAAGTTAGCACATTTTATAAACATTTGTAGTTGACATGGGCTTATGTACTCACACAAGTCAAATTCCTTTTTAGTTACCTAGATGGCTATGTTGACTTTTCTCTTCTTGAATAGTTTACGTATAACAACTATTAGTTAAGATGCAACTGTTACACAGAAATTCTTTATAATGACCTGAGTCAGAAAGAGGGGTGCAGTAAAAGCAAGCAAATCTGTATGTATATAATTTACACATCAGCAAGTGATGGTCCATGAACCGAAAACTGGTCCACTCTAATCCTGTGGCCTATCTACGGCTAAGAATTATTTTATATTCTCGAATGGTTGGGAAGAAAAGAATAATATTTATGACATGAAAAAAATTATGTGACATTCAATTTCAGTGTCTATAAAAACTTTTTATTAGAAAACAACCATGCTTATTTGCTTATGCATTGTCTAAAGATGCTTTTGGTTCTCAATAGCAGAGTTTAATTGTTACAAGCAAAAAAGACTATATGAAGTTACAAAACCTAAGATACTCAAGGCTTCTGGTTCTTTACAGAAACATTTTGAAGAACCTTGATTTAACTCACTCCTCTTCTATAACTGACATTCCTTGGATGGGGAAATTCTGGGCATCAGAATTTCAACTACTCTACATCTTCTGTTCACTCTAGATAGTTTTCTATTTTTCCGGGAAATTTTTTTTAAAGATTTATTTATTTATACAAGAACTAGCGTACAGTCAGAGGCTCAGGAGGGTGAGAGAATTCACCAGAGACAGGGAGGGGAGCAGAACAGGCAGATGGACCGAAGACACTGCTCAGGGGAGCAGCGGGCAAGGCAGGAGAGGTCTACTGTGCCATGTGGGTTTCTCCCTGGCTGGCCAAGAATCTAACCCATGGTGCAGAGGCGGCAGACAGCTTCACAGCACGGCTCTCAACCCACGGCGCCACCAGGGAGACCCTTTCCAGGAAATTTTTATGTTCTGATTTAGCTAATCAAAAAATTTCTGAGGAAGTAACAATTTATCACTATGTTTGGTTTCAGAAACATGTGGAATTCATTCAAAATATCTGAGACCTGCCTATCCAACTAAGACCTTCCCAAATCATTACACTGTTGTTACGGTAAGTGTCTAGTCCAGTGGCAAGACTAACAGGCCATAGACAGTCACCCAACCACAACAGACACAAATAGGTAGGCACTGGCTGAGTCCCATGGCACACATTTCACAGGCACATGTGATGATAATTCATGGCTTCATTCAGTATAGGAGGGAGTGTCTTAGTTTGAGGCCAAGTATCCCAGCATTGGGCTCTCTCACCTCTGTGATAGGCCAAAAGCCTCTTGGATGTGAGAAACATTGTTCTGATTTTTTATTAGCTGAAGTTTTGGGGAATGATAGGCTATGTTTTTGGGATGAAGTTTTTGGGAATGATAAGACAGCCACTTTAAAAAAAATCTACATTTTATATATTTGTTTTTCATATTAAATTATTTTTGAAGTAATGTTGGTTTGCAACACTGTATATGATTTAAGGGCATAGGTACACACCTCTTCAGATGTATGTTACTACACCATACCCATCCTCCACCCTAATCCATTGGATCCTCTTTCCCCTTTTCTCTCTTCTCCTACCCTCCCATTCTGGAGTCTCCGTTCTGAAGTCATATTTTAAAGGTTTGTTTTGGCTTAGTTTTGTCTGTTTTTTTGCTGTGCTTTTTATATTCCACACATGAATGAGAGCATCTGGTATTTGTCTTTCTCCTTCTGAGTTAGTTTGCTTAGCATAATCCCTTCCAGTTCCATCCATGTTGTTGCAAATGGCAAAATTACATCTTTTTTTATATAGCTGAATAGTGTTCCATTGCATAAATATGCCGCATCTTCTTTACTCATGTTTATTTACTTAGGCTGATTCCATTGTTTGGCTTCTGTGAACAATGTTGCAGTGAACATAAGAGTGTGTTTATCCCCTGGAATTAGGTTTTTGTCCTTTTTGGATAGATTCCTAGGAGATGAATTGCTGGATACTCTATGTGCTGTGTCATGCACATAGAGTAATATTATGTATGGATCTGTACAGGAGAATGTTGTGACTGAGTTTAAAGGAACCTAACTTTGTATCCTCCTAAGTGATAGTAGTTTAGTATTTCCTACTTTGGTGTTAGCAGTAACTTTATAGAATATAACTGTCACAAACAAGAATACATTTGCATTTATACCTACTTACAGAAATATACATGCATTATATATCATACACATATAAGCATACATGGATATATACGCAAATAAGGAATCATGCATAAATATTATCAAATTACCTTATATATGGATATATTCATTCATATATATGGTAATATTCTGAAATATAATCCTAAAATCAGCTTAAAAGTAGTTATAACTGTGAAATGTTATAGCCATTCATTGAAAATGTGTGGAATGATTGAATGAATGCTTGTGATTAGATTGAAGGAATGATTGGACTGATGGATGGATGCAAGGGAAGATGTATATAGACTTGACAGGCTCCCTTTCAAAGGCTGTTGAGACACTTTAACCTATTGAGCCAGCATATTTGGCACTTGAAAGCTTCTTTGAGGTGAATTTTTTGCTATTATTGGCAATATTACCAGTGGCTAATTATTATAATATGGGAGACTTTAATTAACAAATATATAGTATAAGTAGTCTGTGAGTTATAGTAATACAGCAACACAGACCATATCTCTAATGTCATTCAATTGTCACTCATTTGCTTCTATAGATTTTGTAACTAGAATATATATAAGATAAATATATACTAATATATATATATCTCTCACATGTATATATAGGTTAAGATATACAGAGGTTTTCTATTAAAAGATATATGACACCCTTCTAAGACATGAATTATAGCTCTTATTGCTATTTTATTTTAAATATGTGTCATCATTTACATTATTTTATCTTAAATCTTTTTTTAAATTATCATGGTAGGGCTTATATCCAGAATCACATGGCATCATTGACAACAATATGTATGATGTAAAACTCAACCAGAATTTTTCACTTTCATCTGCGACAAAAAATAACCCAGCTTGGTGGCAAGGTCAACCAGTAAGTAGTCTGCCACATGTGGCCCCAAAGTAACTGCCGTTTTTCCAGTGTGACAGTGAGTCACTTTTCTTTACATTAACTTTCTAATTTCTGAAAGCTGGGAGTGGGAGGGTGTTATTTCTGTTCTTTCTCCCTTGTTTTCTAATTCTTTAAAGGGGAAAAAATAACTTCTTAATTTTACCAATTTGAAAAAATAACCTTTTTTTCTTAGTCGTACTGCAGTTTTGATTTTCAAGGTAAATCCCAATATAAATATCTTTTAGTTGCCTTGAAGTCAAATTTTTAAAAATTTAATTTAATTTTTTAAGACTTATTTATTCATGCATACAAAAACTGGGGTACAGGCGAGAGATGTAGGGGGTGAGAGGATTCACCAGAGACAGAGTGGGGAACAGAAAAGGTGGAACTACTGAAATACATTGCTGAGGGGAGCAGCAGGCGAGCCAGGAGAGGTCTGCTGCACTATGTGGGCATCTCTCTGGCTTGCTGGGCTATCGAACTCTTGCCACAGTGGCTGCAGACAATTTCATAGGTTGCGTCTTAATCCATTTGACATTGTTAATATTACTGGGTTTCTAATAAGTGGTACCCTTTCTACCTAAAGTGATTATTCCTTGACTTCTACTTATCTTAAATTTTCTTTTCTTATAGATATGGCTGACAGCAATGTATCAAGGTTTAACAGCTGGTACCTACTTTTGGCCAGGATCAGATGTGGCTGTCAATGGTTCCTTTCCCTCCAAATACGAGCCTTACAACAAGTATGAAACACTTATAGATATGACCCCATAGAAGCAGAATGATTAAGATATTCTGTGGTCTTAAGATTGATGGAATTCCATCTTTCCAGTTTTGGGGCCAAAAATGTTGAAGTCATCATTGATTCTTTTCTTTTACATCCCTCATCCAGTCTGTTAGTAAATGTTTACAGCTCTAATACAGAATTATCCAATCTGAAGCATTTTATCACCTCCTGCATTAACACTCTGGTTTGACCTATCATCATCTTTTGCCTGTATTACTGCAGTCACCTCTTTAAATGTGTTCCTGCTTCTGTTCTAGTCTCCTCTAATCTATTCTCAATCTACCTGCCAGAATGATCACTTAATAAGTGTGCGTTTATGACACTTTTTTGAAAAACAATATATAAATACAATTTAATTTCTAGTGAGGTAAGTGTATCTCTATTGAAAATAAGAATCCCTTTGAGTAACACTGAATCCTTTTTAGTATTTTAATCATGTGGATTTCTGAAAATATCAATCTAGTTTCCTGTATAAAAATAGAGTAAAATTATTTTTGATTTGATGAGTTAAAAAACTATTTAATGTTCTTTTCAGGAGTATCGCATATGAAGAAAGGATCTCTACAGTGTTAAAGTGGTTGGACCTTGACAAAGGTCAAAGGTACTAACAATGGATATTGTGGTCTAAAATAAAATTATTTCTTTACTTTAAATGACTATTTTTGGAAAAAATATGATTCCTCCTTTTAGTGAACACTTTTCGAGAATTATTCCTGAGGGCAGGTGACATTTTGAGCCTGAGAACATGATTGCCACTATGAGACAATAAAAGCAGAGTTAGCACCAGAGCATAGAGATGAATGTCATGAACCAGATATGAGCCAAGACTGCGAGGGGATATGAAACTCAGGAGGACTGACTCAAGGAGCCACAGGTGCCAGAGAAAGGCCATGGCCACAAGCTATAGTCAGAGCGTTCTAGAAGACAGCAGCAGGTCACATTGCAGCAGAGACAGTCATTTAAAGAAAAGACTAGAGTGGCAGACCAGAGTAGCCGACAAGTCAGAAACCTGGAAATATAAAGGGCTGAGGCTCATCAACAGAGGTCTTAACAGCAAGAAGGAAGAAAATTTTCATTTTACTGAGTCAGACATCCCAAAAGGTCTTATTTAATTCCCATTGGGAGACTATCTCTGCTGGGCCCAGTTGAACCGCTGGATAAGGATGAAGAGAAGGAGACAAAAGAAAAAGAGAAAGAAACTTCCACAATTTTCTAGTCCTATAAAACTCATCATTCCAGTCTGCAAGCTTAATCAAATCAGTAATGTCTTTCTGTTTTAATTTTACCCCTAGACCTGATTTTTATACCATATACGTGGAACAACCTGATTCTGCAGGACATAACAAGGGACCAGTCAGTGCTGCAGTAAGTTAAAGAAAAAAAAGAGTAAAATTGTTGCCTGGGAGGTTGGGAAGGACTTGAGATGGAAAGGATCTCAAACCAATTATCCAGTTTCTTGACACCAAAATTGAAAGAATTCAAAGTCAGGTCAGGTGGTTGCTAAGCAGAATTTACTGTACAGCAAAAATATACTCTCAGGAAGTGAATGTGGAGGGTGCTCAGAGAAGAGTTGGCCCATTAAGGTTTAGGGGCTATGCTTTTGCACACCTGGTAAATGAGTGCTCGGAATATTCCTAGATTTTCTGGGAAAAGGACAACAATCTCCCAGAATTCAGTTGCCACCATTTTATGATCTTACAGGTCATACTCAGAAGTGCCATGTATAATGAGGTTAAGGTTTGTATTAAGGTCAGGTTGGTCCTCCATCTTGACTTCAGGTGGTTGGAAATAGTTCTCGCTGAATCCTGTCTCTGCTGGTCGTAGGGTTTTTCATTCTCTATGCACTATTCTCCTGCTTCAAATTCATCTAGCTTTAACCCTCAAAATAAAATGGTATCCTTTAATTCCCACTGAATATAAATGTATTTGATATATACCTGAGAGAATAAAACTAGTTAAATGTGTGAGAATGTCTACCTAACTAGGCAGAAAATAGTTAAAAGTCTAAGCTGGGGTCATGCTCAGCAAAATAAGCCAGAAAGAAAAAGAAAAATACTAGATAGTCTCATAGCAGGAATTCAGAAAACCTAAGTAAGGGACCAGGAAAAAGACTAATTATAATAAAGTAAAAATCAAAATCAAAACCAGAGACACACTACGGGGGGGTTGGGGGTGGAGAGGGAGTAGGATCAAAACAAGGGAGGTTGGGAATTGTATGGGGACTATAACCAAGATGAAAATGCACACATTGTGCAAAAATGAAAAAAGATGTAAAAAATATATAAAATTAAAAAATAATAATTAAAAGTCTAATAATAATAATAAAAAGGACATCTGCTTTATTTACAACATTTTGATTAATTTGATAAACACAGTGAATACTTAGATGTAACTCTGCAATTTCATGTTATGAAAACATCAAGGCTATTTAAGATAGGCCATTTATAGATTAGTCACCAGCAAATTCATGGTGGAACGCCAAACTATCTGTTCCTGCAGTTTCATTTATAAATTCCTTATAATTGGATTACTGTGTTATTTTTCTCAGACAGAACTATTTCCTTTCTGAGGCCTATTACAATTAAAGTAGACCTTTAAATACTAGTTTCTTCATTATCTAAACCATTCTGTTACTCTTTTACTACAGAAATACAGTCCTTAAATATTACTTTAGGAAAGTAATCTCTAAATTACCCTAAAGTCTGTATTGTCTTGGACAAAATGTAAATCTTAGAAGGTCCCCATGAGTATTGCATTTCTCTACTCTATGAAAACCCATTTAACAGTTGTCCTTAATTGTAATGTCTTCGCCCCCAATTGCAAAGCAATTGTTCTCAGTTGCAAAGGTCCTCAAGTAGAATGCAGTTGTTCTTAATTGTAAAGCAATTGTTTTCATTCAGTTAGTGACTAAAGATTTATATGATCTGAAGAGAATCCAGAGTATAATTGTCCTCAATTGGAATGCAAACGTATTTATGCTAAAGCATGACTTTGTTGCCTATCAGAAATGCTCTTCTTCCTTTCCATTAAACCAAAATGATTCCTAATTCAAGGCCTTGCTCAAGTCTGATCACTTTTCGCCCTTTAATCTTCCTTTGTGTTTTAACACCATTCTTAACTGCATCATAGAATTTAACAATTAAGTGGGGTTTTTTTTTAAGATTTATTTATTTGTACATACGAGAACTGGGGTACAGGCCAGAGGTGTTGGGGAGGTGAGGGGATTCACCAGAGACAGAGTGGGGAGCAGAACAGGCAGATTGACTGAAATACACTGCTGAGGGGAGCAGCAGGCAAGTCAGGAGAGGTCTGTTGCACCATGTGGGTAGCTCCCTGCCCGGGGAGCAAACCATAGGATGAAAATTAATTCTAATTAACTACCCAGAGACCACCACTGTTATTAGTACTGTGATGTTTCCTTTTTGATTTTGGTGCATGTGCATTTACTAAGAAATGCTAAATACATTTAAAAACAAAATCAGGATTACTCGATTGAGTGGGTGCATATATAACTTGATTTTAAGTTTTTATATTTAACAGTGTTTTGTGAATAATTTCTTATGCCATTGCTCTTTAAAATATTTTTGTAATGACTGTCAAGTATACCTTCTTAATGATGTGGCATAATTTATTTGTGAATTTAAATTGTAGATAAGTAATGTGATGAATATCCTTACATGTAAATTTCAATTTATACTTTAAGTGTTTACTTAGAACAAATGCCAGAAGTAGAATTAGTCAATTACAGGCTATGCCCCTTTTAAAGTCTTTTGTTATACTTTGTCACATGATCCTCTGTGTAAACTATGTGTAAACATTTAGGTTCTCACAGAGGTGTCTGTGGACTCCCCTCTCCAACATTGGGTATTGTCATGAAAATCTTTGCAATGGAAAAATGTGTTGAGGTTGAACTTTTCTCCTCATATATTATTACCCAATAGGGAATATGGTTTAATTTTTTTGTTTACAGAAATTTAGAGAGTTATTTGCTAAGGGTGGGTAAAGCATGGGTGCTGGACTCTGATGTTTTATTTCAAAACCCAACAATTTCAGAGAAGGAAACGTGCCTAACTTATACTCCATTTGGTAATGGTTAATTAAAACTTACTTCATCAAGGCAATCTGAACTCCAATTTTTTTCCTAGGTTATTCAAGCCTTACAGTCAGTAGATAAGATTTTCGGGATGTTGATGGAGGGCCTAAAACAGCGGAACTTGCACAATTGTGTCAATATAATCCTTTTGGCTGATCATGGTATGCTACTTTTTAAATCATATTTTATTGTTGATTATATTTTATCACTTCAAGGAACATACAAAAATAATGATGATTTTTTTTTTTAAAGATTTATTTTTTTTATTTATTTATACAAGCACTGGGTATACAGTCAGAAGCGCGGGTGGGTGAGAGAATTCACCAGAGCCAGAGTGGGGAACAGAGCAGGCAGACAGATGAAGTACACTGTTGAGGGGAGCAGCGGGCGGCAGGAGAGGTCTGCGCGCCATGCGGGATCCTCGCCCGGCGGCCGGGAATCGAACTGGTGCTTCAGAGGCTGTGGGCAGCTTCGCAACCCAGCGCTCAACCGCTGTGCCACCGGGGAGGCCCTAATGATGATATTTTAAAGTCTGTACCTCTAGATTTAGAAGCTCTTGAATGGGCAAACAATGAGTTTTGTGGTAGGCTGCCATGAATAGAGGATTACTACTAAATTTCTAGTTCAGGTATTCTAATATTCATTTTGAAAATCCATCCATACAGTTAATTTTCTGTAAAAGTGGACTGTGTAGTATGTAACAGAGATATTGTTAGGTTGTCATTTAATCATAAAATGTGCTTTTGGGGTTTCTTTTCAGTGAGTGATTCATTCTTATAGATTGGCTACATTTTACATACTGGCCAGTTATGCCACATCTTGTGTATTTTTTTTTTTTAAATGTGAATAGACTTCTATAAAGTCCCTGTTAACCCATCTTTTTCTACTTGAAGCTAATTCTCCATTTCATTAGCCTGAGTGTTAAAGAAAGTGGAGTACCCACCACACCACACCAAAGCAGTTTTATAAGTACAGTAAGTCCTCACTCAGCATCATGGATAGATTCTTGGGAACCACAACTTTAGGTGATTCAATGCATCGCAAAAGCAGGCCCTTGAATAATATTTATAATGTTGTTTCACTTGTCTTGGACTGGGATTGTTTTTTTCTTACCAAGTTTTGAAGAATGTTGGACTAATTGGGTTATTTGAAGGTGTGCTGTACTCATTCATCTGACAAATATTCATCTGACAAGTGCCTATTCAATGCTGAGTACTTTACTAGATATGTCTGTTCAGAAATACATGAAGCAGAAATGGACAATTTTTTAGAATGGGTGGTCAAAACCATCTCCTCCAGGAAATCCAATGACTGTAAAGGAACCAGACATGGAGTAAGAAGAGGAAAGGAGCATATCTGCAGAGATTTTGTTTATTTTAGAATATCAAGATTATGAGAAACATAGTAATTTAAAATTTTTTTCTAAAATGGTTCCCTAACACTTTGACCTATTGTTTTAAAATTATAGGAAATATTTTAATAAATGTTTTGTTGAAGTAAATTATAAAATTTAAATAATAAATATAAAAGGTAAAAATAATAAAATAAAAATAGTAATATAAATTTAGATTAGTTTGAGTGACAGATCTTCATATAAAAATCTTTTAGAGCACAAGCTCTATTTAATTTGATACACTTATGAAAAACAAACATTCTCTACTGCTTTTTCTTTTAATGTATTTTCTAAGAATGCTTATTGTCTTTTTTGATTTAAAGGTATATCATGCTTCCTTACATGCAAATTAGGCATTATAAAAATCTAATTAGCTTCCTAAAGAGATTTTTCTTCTTTGAAATTATTTTAGTTGATCTATATTGAACAAATGATCTGTTTATAATTCTTGTTTAGTCTTCTCATATATATATAATATTTATATTATATATGTATGACACTTCTTTCCCATCATCAGGATTTTTAAGGTCTGTCTGAGAGTAAAGTAATAGGGTAAGTTGTATAGGTTCTCAGCGAAAGTTAGAGATCTGTACCATAAAATGTCTATTTGACATGAACAAAGACAACCAATTGTTACTATTTATATACATTCAGTGGATCTATCTATCTATTTTATACAGGAATGGATCAGACTTATTGTGATAAGGTGGAATATATGACTGATTACTTTCCCCAAATAAATTTCTACATGTATGAAGGGCCTGCTCCCCGCATCAGATCTCGTAACATACCTGCTGACTTTTATACCTGTAAGTATGATAATGCCTGTATGGGGAAAAAAGGATAAAACTGAAAGTGAGTAATCATAGCTCCTCGATTGTAAGGATGTAAGGTATTACCAAGCCCTTCTGACTTCTTGGGAAGACCACACTGAAGCAAATGACAAATTCCCTTTTTAAGTACAATCAGTCTATAAAGTTTATAGTTATATCAAATATTGTTGGGTTAAAATACTATCCCATTCTGAAATGCTAAAATAATTATTTGCCTAAAATATATTTTTTAATATCACCGGACCATAGTTGTTGTAAACATATGTGTCAAATTCAACTGAGTTCATCACATTTTTGGCATTTGTCAACTATCGACTATAATGTTTTTTTTTTTTTTTTGAAACAGTTGATTCTGAAGGAATCGTTAGGAACCTTAGTGTAAGTATATAGTCTCCTCATACGTAAATTTAAGTTAATATCATGGGTTCATCCGGGGTTCAAGATATTTATATTCTATATTTTTATATTTAAGCCACCAGTAATTTTTTCAAAACCCACAGTCAACATTATTTTGTATATATATATATATATATATCAGTTGCTTTTATCATAGTTTTCATTGTGGAGTTAATAATATCTCAGCTTCCCAGACTATAAGCAAATGAGCAGAGCAAATTCCAAATAACTTAAAGCAGTATCAATTTTCCCAGGTGGTGGTCACTATGCCTAGAGAGAGGAGGAATATTCTTTTTTTTTTTTTTTAAAGATTTATTTATTTATTTATACCAGCACTGGGTATAGTCAGAAGCGCGGGAGGGTGAGAGAATTCACCAGAGCCAAAGCGGGGAGCAGAACAGGCAGAAGGACCAAAATACACTGCTGAGGGAAGCAGCAGGCAGCAGGAGAGGTCTGCACGCCATGTGGGACCCTCACTGGTGGTCGGGGATTGAACCGGTGCTGCAGAGGCTGCGGGCAGCTTCGCAGCCCAGCACTGAACTGCTACGCCACCAAGGAAGGCCCTGGTGGAACATTCTTATGCTGAAGTCTTAATAGTTCTATATTTAGTAGATTCACAAATACGCATCTACTCTATGGAATTAATGATTAATAATTAATAATTAACTCCAAATTAATTATTTGGGATGTGGGTATATTTTTTTTAAATATAAATGATATGCAATTATAGTGAGCAACATTAGGATGAAATGTTAATGATTAAAGATAATGAAACACTAGGTAAAGAATGGCGACAATAACCTGTGGTCCACTTCAAGTTTGAAATAGAAAACACAGCTCTGCGGAAATCCTTTCGTGGTCACCACTCCTTTTTTTCTTTCACACCTTCTAATATTCTGATCTCCAGTGAACATGCTGGACAATCTCACCCCCTGCTGGTGAAAAGTGTTCATGCTGATTGGATGGTTAATGGAGAATTTTCACCTCTCTCTATTCTAAATTCACACATTATTTTCCTTTTCTCCCCCACCACCTCATGATTTGTATAGTTGACATCCTGTTAGTGAGATGAGGAAGGGTAAATCTACAATAATCTCAGCAGTGCAAGGGGGTTGGATACCTCAGGCTTTGCAAATTCACTGCACAGCATCACTGATATGGGCTGGCTGGGCCTGGAACTAAAGGACCCCAAAGAAATGGATTACCCTTTCACAAAGTACATTATTCTCAGAAATATTCCATGTAAAACAGCTGTCCAGATCTGTATTAAACTTATATTGGACAGACATAACCAAGCATGAACTGGGAACTCTTACAATTCCACAGCATGCTGTCTGTATGAGACAACAGCGGCAACTTTGTTCTTAGATAAAATGATCCCAGTTTTATCTCAACTGTCGTGTCTTTATCTCAGATTCTCAAATTCAAGTAATAATAACTCTGCACTTCCTCAGAGGTTGGCATGTACCCCCACTTTCCTCTGGATTTCCTCTGGCTACACACCAGCTCAGAAAGTATGACTTGTTACATGGATGCATGGTAAATCCTAGAGGCATGTTCTAGTCCCTTGTGTCTCTGAGGAGGCTGTGTACTCAGCAGCTGCCATCATGGTGCTTGCCTGTTAGTATAAAAACACTGGCTTAATATGGAAGTCATGATAAAGGAAAAAAACAGAAAAATGAGAAACCTGTAAAAGATACATAAACAGGCAAGAATAAAGCTGGCAGGGATATATGTGCACTAAATATTTTTCTCTTTCCCTGTTCATTCTATAATTCTTGCTCTCCTATTTTCCAGATTTATTTTAAAATTGTTTTTGCTGAATTTCAGTGTCTCTTATTTTTCTTACAGAAATTGAACATGCGGAAATAGTGACACTGACTTGAACTATTTAAGAGATTATTGAGGCTAAAAAAATGAGGAAGTAGAAAATATTCATATCTCTATATTACCTGTGTGTTTTTCAAAAAGGTCACAATGGAGAAAAAGTTTCTTTGTAGTTCTATTTCTCATATTTCTCCTGTGATATTTTCTCATTTTCTAACATGAATAGACACCATTGTGATTTGCATCTTTACACAATTTTGAAATATGCCCCCTAGTTACAGCAGTATTATAGAAACTTTCACAGAACTCCCTTAAAAGTTGACAAATACAGACTATTTTGGGGTTTATTAAACTGATTTTTATATTTTTACACATACTGCTAGTAATTTTAATTGCAATTCAAAGTTGTAATTGCCACTCTAAAGCTAAATTTATCTTTATTTTCTGTCTAAAAAGGAGGAGAGCTTTACAGTGATTTATTATATATATATATATAACAAAAACTTAAAACAACAAACAATAAGCCATAATTGAAATCATTTTAAACTGCAACATACATGTTGTTGCAACAGTAAAAACAATGTAATCAAGGAATGTGACCATGCTGATAATAGGATTATTTTCCTATCTTATTACCCCAGTTTAAATCTCCTCCAAAAGTGTTTAATAGACTGCCTTAGGAGATGAATTGTTGAATTATTTTGCATATTTCTTAGGTTTCATGAAGAAATAATTTATTTGTTTTCAGTGCCGAAAATCTGACCAGCATTTCAAACCCTATTTGACTCCTGATTTGCCAAAACGACTACACTATGTCAACAATGTCAGAATTGACAAAGTGCATCTTATGGTGGATCGACAGTGGCTGGCTGTGAGGTTCGTGTGTCTATTACTTATTTCACAATACTGTAACTGCCATCTTTTACTAATTTACTTGACCTTACTTAACCATTATGATCCCACTGATTTTCCCAAGTACTGACATTTTCTTGATCTTTATCAGCATTCTAGTGTTTCCATATTTGAAATTACTGTTATTAATTAGAGTGCAGTCTTGTCGTTAGGGGGAAATGATGTCCTGAGCTAATCCCATACAGGCTTTGTGGACTCCACCCCCACTCCAGACTAAAGCCATCAAGACATTGGGAAAGACAAATCCCATCACCACAAAGGGAGGGTGGCTGGGACCTGAGGGTGGAGTTGGGCAGCCAGGTTGGATATAAAAACCAAACACGTGGGTCTTGGGGGGCTCACAATCGCTTGCTTCCTGGCTTCACGGTTCCTGGCTTGTGGCCAGCAATCAGAGCGCCATTTGGGATTCCAGATCGGCGGATCGGATAGGACTCATTTAAAACTTTGTCTCCCACTTTTCTCCCTGAGCTGTACATTTCCTCATTTCCCCTTCCCTTGTAAATAAACCTTTTATTAGCCGTTCGCGTGTGCCTGCAGTAGAGCATTGATAAGTCCTTTTAAGCGCTTGGGTGAGGACCCACAATCAGGCACCCTGTTTTGTATCGGGGTTGCTCTACAACATTGGCATCCTAATCTTCACAGTATTCGTGAGGAGGAAGGCTGAGCTATTTCAGGAACTGTGGGTCTGCTACTCCTAGGCAGCCTATTCAGCCACCATTTTGTCACCTAAACAAGGTCAAAGTGGTCTGGCCAGTTAGGAACAGGAGCCCAACCCTTCAGCCCATCAAATCAAACAAGAGCACAAAGCTGGATCACACTGGGAAGGTTATGCATCACAATGTATGTCCAGAATGCCCAGGGGGCTGAGTACCGATGCATAACATGTGCATCAGGAGGTATGTCCGGAATGCCCAGGGGGCCAAGGACCGATGTATGACAAGGGACCCCAGAAGCTGATGAGTGGAGCGCCTTGTTGATAAGATTAGAACCATTGCTGGGGATTAGGGTGTATCATCAAGTAGATTAGAAGTGCCTGGAGGGCAGACTCACAATCCCTAATCTTCTACACCTTTCCCCTTTCTTTAATCTCCTTACAATCAATTATGTGTGACAATAAAAGGGCCAGGATCTTGCTCTTCAGCAGCATCCTGCATTGTGCAGCCTGCTCCATGACTCCCGTTTGTCAGTGTGGTGTTGTCCCAATGCAACAAGGAACTGTTGGAACGAGCATATTCTCAACTCCCACTGAAGTCTCTTTCAGACAGACAAAATGTAAAGGTGGTATCAGTTGTCTGCAGATTGGGATTGATTAGATGGTGCTGTAAGATCTTTGTCATCTTTGCAGTTAGGTGTGACTTCCTTTTTTCTTATGATAATTGTGATTTGTGTCAGTCATCAAGCATTTGCAAAATGTGTTTAGATCAAATAAAAACCATTCTGAATCATTTTATACCCAAACAACCAATTAATTCATTAATTCAATAGAATCTCATTGATCCTTCCTATGTGTGTGTGTCAAACCTTGTTTTAGGCATTTAGGATACAGACATGATTCCTGCCCTTCTTGTAAAATGGAGGAGACTAGTAAGCCAGTACACATATAAATACCTGTTTTCTTGTAGTTTAACAAATTTTAAATGAAGGCTTTTGTGTCTTGGTTCCATTATTTCTTCTATGAACATAAGTGTATATAAATGAAAACAGGATCATATGTGTTTTCTGGCCTATTTATTTGTATACTACTAGGGAGTACACAAATATTTATATTTGTATACTACTAGGGAGATACATAAGACAATGGAATCCAGAGGCTGAAAGATATGCCGAGCAAAGAAGAGAATATGAGAGAGTCAGGTTCTAATATCAACATGTGTAGGATGAAGAACTAGAGATTTACACAGCCTATTTCACAAGGTGACAGGAAATTCAAGGATGCAGTGGTAGGTTAGACGGTGCGGTTTCACACCACATCACTAGATGGCACTGGCCCTGCTTCTTAAGATTAGCTCTTCAGAAGCTTGCGGGTCAGTGGCCTTAGGACAGCCTTCTCTAAAAGATTAAAATATGTGAACAAAATTACATTTTACTAGTATTATGTATATAAGATTTTTAGTAATGATAATACTAAATAATCACTAATGTGACACACATATGTCACACATAAATAAATGTAAGTCCAAATGTGGGAAGTTCTCCAAATATTTACTTGCTGAGAGTATTTACTGTTAAGAGATCAAAGACGTTAGGAAACCACTGGTGCAAAATGAGCAAGTTCCCATCCATCTGACAGCATGACCTATGAATTATAGGAGGGTCTGGTCCCCAGAATACCTGAATAACCCACATTAATACCTGTTCTGAAATTACGAGCTTTGTTCAATTAACAGCTAGCATTGAGATTTAAAATGAACAGTAGTCTGAGTGTTCAACACCTAACTCCCCACCTAGCTTGTTCTAGGAACTTGGAGAAATTAATATCTCCAGGCTCCATTTTCTTTAGCTGTAACTATAGATTAGCCTGGTTTTATTCTCTTCCATTAGCATACAAAGTAAATTAACTTACATCAAAGGAAATGTGGACTGCAGCCCTAACCACAGCAACTAAGGAGTTTAATCTGATTACATGCTGACTTTGTTTCGAAAGCTTAACAAACAACTCTCAGGTTACCTGTTTTCTAAGTAAAAGTATGTTGTCTTTACTAATAATATTTTATATTCAGAAACTAGATTAGATTTCCTTTTCAATATTATAGTAAATTTCATTCTTTAATGTAAATCTGTTTTTTCATAATCATGATCTTTATTTTGCTTAAAATATGTTAGATTTTACCAATTTGGGGAAACCCAGCTGTTTGATACTACAGAAGATTTGTGAAATTGCCCTATTAAAAATATGAATAGTAGTTTTTTTGTTTTATGATTGGAAACTGACAAATACATGCCAGGCACATTTTTAAGAGTTAAAGATAACAGATACAGTACACATTATCAGGATTTTCACTGAAAAAGGGAGGTAGACAACAGTTACAGTCAGCTTTAGCAACCGCTGCACTAGACCCTAGTACAAGGTTCAAGCAAGTGAAAAGAATGATTACATTCCCCAAGTGCCTATGTCAGAAAGCTTCCTGTTAGGTATGATTCCTTCTCTGAGTTTTGAAAACTCAGGCTGAATTAAGGTAAATACTGCCCCAAACAGCAGGTCTGTCTTATGTATTTGTGCAATCTGTGCATTGTACAGAGGCACTGAGCCGAGAAGATAAGCGGAACAGAAATCTAACCCAGCCCTGAAGGGGACTGTGTCTGCAGGAGGAAAGGAACCACCTTTCTTTGCTGGAAGGTACTAATAGGCTTGCCAAACCTTGAGGTTTGACAGGCTCTGTCTTCTTGGAGCTGCTTTCTCCAAATGCTCTGCCCAAGAAAGAGGAGAAATAATCAGGGATCTAGAAAGATGAAGTAGATGACAGTTCATGTAGTTCTGTAATACTGGGGCACTGGGTGAATGAAGTTGCCTGCTGCAGGAAGCACCTTCTCTTTATGACTGAGGAGTGTGACTCTGGCCATGAAGAAAATAAGAGACAATCCGTAGACACAATGTGACTGGCGGTCAATGCAGTGGGATTTGCATTTCAGGGTGTTCACTCCAGCTGCCATAAGGAGGCAAATGGTCAAAGTGAGTTGCAGGAAAACCAGTTAGAAAGATGTGTGACTCATTCTTTAGCATTATGAAAGTCCCAAGGAAGGCTGTGGAGCTATGGAGGATGGTAAGATTACGTAGGTAGCACATTATCAGGAGAGTATGTATGGTGAACTTAAAACTCAGATTTTCCAGGATTGTACCAGCTCATCATATTTGCCCCTCATTTGTACTTATTAAAACATGTGTTTCCATTTCCAACAGTTATAGTGTTAAATATGATTAGGGGTGTGTGTGGGAGGAGGAGGGGCGTGGGAAGATTCTGAAGCTCGGATTGAGAATAACCAATTAGGAAATTTGTTCAGGTTAGAGATAAAGAGGATCTAGCTTAGAATGGTGGCAGTAACAGAGAAAAGTAAGGGAAAGTGGAAAGAAAAAGAGGGGGCCTGGCAGCTGATTGGGACCAGGAAAGAAGTCTTACTTATCCCCCAACTGTGTCGTTACTCAACTGTGATAGAGAAATCCATGCTTGACTCCATATTATTAATTACACATGGAGAAGATAAAAGTGAATTAGTTTTCAAAAGATTTCATATAGTACTTGGAAGTTGAGCTAAATTATGATAATATCAACTCATCTTTTCCAAACACAAGTTTCCATTTTCTATATGTAATTTTCAGAGCCAAGAAAGTGGTTGGAAAACATAAACTTGAACAGTTAGAAGAGCAAATTTCTAAAATTTTCACTTGGGAAACAATAGAAAATAGGACTTTTTCAAATAATACTTTTTGTCTTTTGCTTCCAAATAACTTTGCTTCAATATTTACTAAACTTCTCTAATTCAGTTGGGCTAGGATTTGAAAACATTTTTTTAAAACTAGATTTTTTTCTGAGAAAGAAAAGTAAAAGATAAGTTAAAAAAAATACCAATGATTTAATTCAAAAAAGCCTTTCATTCTTTAATTAATGACTACTTTAGCCTCCCACTCAGACTTTAGGACTTAATTATCTTTAATCAAGTCGTTCTAGTAATCTTGGGAAGCCAAATATCTATGCAATGAGGATAGAAATATTTTAAACACCTTTTGCCTTATGCCAACAATTTTGTTGGCATTAACTAAGTCAGTTAATTGACTGACTCCTTATGTAAGTGAATTTAAACCCCCTTACAAAATACTTCCTCCAATTTCCCCATTCCATATAGTATTTAGTCTATCCTTTCTTTCCTCTGTTGGGTAGACTGAAGTGTGAGCTGTTCACTGAGTTTTTATTTTGCAATTTATTTTCATTTAAGCTGAGTGAGAGTCAATTATGAATTTTTTAAAAGTTGGCTGTTTAAGACAACAAATTAAAGTCCTGCTCTCAGTTGGACCTACAATGTAAAAGCAAATGAAAACATTGTGTGTGTATTTGTCCTGGGGAGTAGGGAAGCAAATGAGAGAAATCTTTTAAGGTCAATGTTTGAAAACAGAAAGTTTTTTTTTTTTTTTTCCCCTGTTAGAGACCCAATTTAAATCTTGGCTGCTTAGAAAACAATCTAAATGTATTTATTGTTAATTCAAAGATAAAGATACTAGGAAAAAAAGTAGGCAGAATACAAGGTAATTAAATTTGGATAGTTCATTCGAATTGAAGAGCACTAACCTGGGTAAGAAAGCACCAAAAATGAAATATAAATGCCAAATTCACAGAATATATAACTTCTCCTTACCGAGCATTATAGTTGACTTTCCGTGAGTATTATTTATTCATATTTTTATACTACTTAAACTAAAATGCTTAAAGTAATATATTAGTCAAAGTTTTTAAATTAAATTTATCAATCAGGTAGTGTTTAAGAAAACTATATATGTTTAAGCGGTATAGTTTCACACCTCTTCAAATTCATATTATCACAACACAACAGACCCGCCACAAATGCACCAATAATCTCTTCTCATAGTCCACTGGGTCCCTTCCCCCATTGCTCTGTAGCCTTTTCCCCTCCCTTTCTGGTTGCCTCAGTTCTACTTAAATTGATTCTTTTTTTTTTTTTTTTTTTTTTAAAGATTTATTTATTTATTTATTTATGCAAGCACTGGGTACAGTCAGAAGCGCGGGAGGGTGAGAGAATTCACCAGAGCCAGAGCAGGGAGCAGAACAGGCAGAAGGACCGAAGTTCGCTGCTGAGGGGAGCAGCGGGCGGCAGGAGAGGTCTGCGCGTCATGTGGGACCCTCCTGCGGTGGCCGGGGAGCAGCCGGGGATCGAACCGGCGGTGCAGAGGCCGCGGGCAGCTTTGCAACCCAGCGCTCAACCGCTGCGCCACCAGGGAGGCCCTTAAATTAATTCTTAATCGTGCAGCCATGAATGTGTAAAGGGACAGATAAGCTTGAAGACAAATTCCTTTTTCATTCAAATTCCTTTTTCAAATTTATGCCTTTGTTATTATCCTTTTGTTAATATCTAAGATTTAAAGGCTTTTAAATTCTATTTATAAATCCTGGAGTTCTCTTTCCTTCTCTCTTACCATTCTGTTTGTTCGTCTGTGGTTATGCACATACATTAAAATGAAAATGACTACATGCTGTTGTTCACAGAAAAATCTGCTTATATATAGGTAGAAGCTAAATAAAAGTCTATTAAAGATCAGTTTGCAATATGGTCTCATGTCAATATATTTGTCACAATATAATGTTATTTCTTTATAGGTCTAAAGGAAATACATTCTGTGGAGGAGGCAACCATGGTTATGACAATGAGTTTAAGAGCATGGAGGTAACATTGCTTTAAAAAAATATTTACTTGATAACTATTTCATATTTAATTTGAAAAAATACTTATCAATAAATATATATTGAACATTATTTTTATAATTGTCTGATATTTAACTTGATAAATATTTATCAATGTATATGTATTGAGCATCCACTCTTACAGGCACTACTCAGGAGTCCTGAATATATCTGAATGAACAGATAAAGGTCCCTGTCCTCATGAAGTTTTCATTCTAATGCAGGGATATTGACGACTGACATTTTTAAAGGAATATATTATCTGGCATGTTAGAGGATAAGTACTATAGGAACTCAAGAAAAAGTAAAGCTTAATAGGTAGAAACGGGTGTTTTTGGAGTGCCATGGGGGAGCATTGCACAACTTTGAATAAGATGGAGAGTGTAAGATTTATTGAGATGACATTGAACAGAAGACTAGAAGAAGACGAAAGAATTAAACTTTCAAATATTCAAGGAACAAGTATCCCAAGCAGAAGAAACAACCAGTGCAAAGGCCCAAAAGTGGGAATATGCTTGATGTGTTGGGGCCAACTGTTGGGAAGATGTTAGACTCTGGCCGCAGCTGATGAGAAGGGAAAGTAGAGTTCACACGTTAAATTTGAAATATTTACCAGACATACAGAGATGTTATGTAGGTAATTAAAGAATTTACCTCAGAGATAAGCTGAGTTTTAGGTACATAAATTATTTAGAAAGTTTATGATGAGATAACTTCCTTAGGGACAAAGTGTAGGTAGAGATAAAGATTGAGTAGTAAGCCCTAAATCTTTCTTTCTTTTTTTTTAAAGATTTATTTATTTTTATACAAGAACCGGGGTATAGGCAGATGCTCAGGAGGGTGAGAGGATTCACCAGAGCAGAGCAGGGAGCAGAATAGCCAGACTGAAGAAATACACTGCTGAGGGGAGCAGCAGGCGAGACAGGAGAGGTCTGACGCACCATGTGGGGTTCTCCCTGGCCGGCCAGGAATCGAACTAGCACTGCGGAGGCTGCGGACAGCTTCACAGTGCTGCGCTCAACCAGGGAGGCCCCCCCCTTTTTTAAGGTTTATTTATGTATACAAGGACTGGGGTACAGGCTAGAAGTTGGGGAGGAAATGAAAAGATTCACCAGAGACAGCGGGGAGCAGAACAGGCAGATTGACTGAAATACTCTGCTAAGGGGAGCAGTAGGCAAGACAGGAGAGGTCTACTGCACCATGTGGGTCAGCTCCCTGAATGGGGATCGAACTCATGCTGAGGTGGCTGTGGATAGCTTCATAGCACTGCATCTTAACCCCTTGCTCCATCAGGGAGGCCCCCAAGCCCTAAATATTTCTATTTGAATTTCTGAGAGAAAAAGAGTTACTAGTAAAAAGATCTAGAAGTAGAGTTAGTGAAGAAAGGAAACCAGATGTGTGTGGGAGCTCAGGGAAGAAATTATTTGTAAAATTCCATGAGTAAAATTGTTTGGTATTCCCCCATAGGTGAAGATTCATAATTCTTGCAACCTGATTACCTTATTTCATTTGTTAATATACCCACCTGCCCCCTCCACACATCCCAAATAGACCACACCCCCCACATATCCCATTCCAAATAAGAAAAAAAGATGTGTTAGACTTGTTATTGATATTCTAGCTTTTAACATTGTCATGGTGAGTTATATCTCTTTGTAAATACTTGAAAAATCTCTGGAGACAGGGTGTTTCTCTATTATAGGGTGCTATTTGATTACTGTATTAAAGCCTATAACTCTAATACTTTGACTATCTTGAAATATATATATTTCAAGATAGTCAAAGTATTAGAAAAAAAAATATATATATACTGTTACCATATATATATCTGTTACCAGAAAAGAATTGTTTATCTCTGTTTGACACTTCTAGTATTTACAGTCTAAAATGTTTAGGTCTCAGATGCTGTGGAAACAGGAGACAGAAAAAAAAACTCATATGGGTTATATTTCATTAGGATTGGTACAAATAACAGGTGGAAATGGTTAAAAATCAATTTCAATTCTAAAAAGAAATCCTTACAGAGGTCTAAGACAAATCAAAGAGCTGTGACAGAAAGAAAATTGTGTTTTTTCCAGCATCAGTTTTTGAGTTCAGAAAGCATCTAAGAATAGTCTTAAATAGTAATAGTGTGACTGTTGCCTCTTAGGCTATCTTTGTGGCACATGGACCCAGTTTTAAAGAGAAGACTGAAGTCGAGCCATTTGAAAATATTGAAGTATATAACCTAATGTGTGGTAAGTACTTCCGTGTAAAGTGAATCCCAGAGGTGGATATTCTGCACTAAGAAGACAGAAAATAGAAAAGATAAGGAAGAATTATTTATTAGTGAGGAATATTCAGGTATGAGAGTGAATTCTTTTTGTTTTTCTAGTAATGATAAACATTAGATCTCAGGAAATTTGCTTTTCTGTTTATTATTATATGGTAAGACAATTTAATAAAACTTAGGTAAATAAAATTGTACTTCTAATATTTCAAAGCAGGAAAATACAACTAATACCTCAAGTATTTTCTTATCATTACAGGGAGAAAGCATCTGGCATAAAAAGATGGTAACAAAGTCCTATTTTGATAAGCATTTAGTAAGTTTGGTATTAAAAAACCTTAAAAAAATTAGAGTTTTAGGGACTCTAATCTACTTTTCTGCCTGCATGCTTGCCTCAGACCATCATATTTACAAATCATTTATGTAGGTGAGGCAATGAGTAAGTTGCAGTTCATCTTTAGTTTTAGGAATTCAGACATACATACTCACAATTCTCTTAATCTTGCCCACTGGCTTTTATTAATTGAATGTGGTTTAGAGACTAAAAATTATCCATTTTAAAAATGGTGTATAGTCTTAACAATTTAAATTCTTTGTTCCCAAGGCTGAGTTTGTCACCTTGGGACAAAGGTGACAATATATAGAAGCTACCAGTTAGGATCCAGTTCTAGGAGAGATGTATTTAATGAAACTTAGCAGGAGCCACTTAAAAGTCTATCTTTGTAAAACACTTGTATGTTTTCTTTTTATTAAAAAATTGGAAAATGTTCTTTCTGTATTAAGCAAATTCACTAATGCTTTTTTTCTAGAGGAACAGACACAGTTCATGGAACTTTCTGTAGCTCAGCTACAGGGGCTGTTTTATTCTCTAGACTCATGATGGAAACTCTTAGGAGAAAGTCAGTGAACTGAATGCAGCCCATTACTGCACTGCAGAAGAATTTATTAAGGATGTGATCAGTAGGCATTTATTTCTTCCCATCTCCTCATAGATATCAATGCTTTATCCTGAACTTATTTTTTTAAAACAGATCTTCTACACATTCGGCCAGCACCAAACAATGGTACCCATGGTAGTTTGAACCATCTTCTGAAGGAACCTTTTTATAAACCAACCCATCCAGAAGAAGTGTCAAAGTCTTCTACTTGTGACTTTACTAATTCAGTGCCCACAGATGATCTAGGATGTAAATGCCCTGAATTACCAAATGTAAGTGTTCTCAGAATGTGAAGGGGCCAACTAGTCTAGAACCAGGTTTGTGTTCTAGCTTAGCTATTACTAAGTAATTGTATGTATTGCCCTGAAACCATGTTTAGAAATTAGAGGTACAGTGTAAGATTAAATATGTGAATATGCTTTGTAAACTGCAAAGTACTATTTGGAAATAATTAATTCCATTGTGAGCATACTAACCAAAACAGTAGAATGTTGGAGTTCTCTTTGATTTCCTGTCATGAACTATTCCCCTTACAGCTATGAAGCAGATGGTCATGCTTGGTTATTTAGAGCAGAATGAGCTGGGAGCAAGCAGGAGACACGGGGGCAGGGTGTAGGCATTGTGGAGTCTGCTCAGCAAGAAGCCAAGTGCTCAAAGCAGGAGGTGTTCCTTTGGGTAGCAGTGAAGACTCCCCATCAGGCAGTTCTGGGAAGCTGGTTGGCATTCAGCACTGGGAAGGTTTTTTTAGTGAATCAGACCAAAGCTGAGTTCAGGAGCAGGATGTTAGATCCCAGAAGACTATCAACAAGATGAGATTCTAGGGAGAAGAAAGGCCTCACCAAAGGCAAGGAGATTAAAAATGTTAAAATAGGAGTTAAAATACAATTGAATACATGCAATCACTTAGTAAATGCAATGATCAAGCTAACCTGTAAGAACTCGAGCACATGAGTGAACTGGGATTTCAGAATAGAATTGGAGGCCAGTTGTCAGGAGTGTACGAGCTGAAACTGTAACACATTTGATGCCACATCCAATGTGTGGTTGGAGAGGTAAACGAATACCTCACTTGTTTCAGGTAAGAACTGTTTTCTTATGGGCAGGGATCAGAGAAGATGGCATTCTCTAATTCTAAAAGTAACATCATGCTACATCCCCCCTACCCACCCCGGCCCCAAATGAATAACCAACCAAAAGAGACTTTAAGGGACAAAGTCCAATCAAATTTCTCAATAAAAATAAAATCCACAGAACAGCAGAAGATCAGAGTAAACCTAGTTTCCTATCTACTGTTGTAGATAACCTCAAGAAAACCACCATTTAAAATAATAGTAATGAAGATTACAAAGTGGGTATTTTAATTTTCATTTTAGTGATAAAGAGGGCTGAGAGATACTAGATAACTTCCTCGAAGTCACAAAAAGTTGATTTGTCTGTTTGCAAACTCCCGAGTTTTCTGTAAAAAATGCCCTTGCAAAAGTGTGTCCCAGCATCAGCACCTGCATTACCTGCGAGCGGGTTAGAGATCCAGAATCTCTCGTCCCACTGAACCCAGGTTTATTAACTTAGAATCTGCGTTTTAACAACACTCTCAAGTGAGTTGTATGCATGTTAAAGCTTGAGAAGCACTAGGAAGTTGTTCTAATTGATCAATAGTAGCTGATTCCAGCTGCAGTCAGAATGCTCTGCCCCATTATCACACATGCCTTTGCCAATGCCCACAGAGAACAGAGTATTCCAGGGAGTAGTAATACCTGTGTGTTTCTAAGTGGCAGAACTGGAGTTTAAACTAAAGTTAGTCTGGCTTTTTTGCTCAGGAGTAAAGTAGCTATGTAATTTCTGCAGAAATCATCTTGATCACCTTTTAAAACATGTGTTATTACTTTGACTTACTTTCCCCCATCCTGTCCCATGTTATCTTTCAGGACACTGTTCTATCATCTGTGAATGAAAGACTAAATCTCAAACCAGAAGAAAGTAAGTCATAGAAAGCATGTGAGTTTTTTATTAGACCTAAAAAAACACAATTGGCTTTGATAGGATTCTCCAAATTAAGCTCAAAAGGCCTTTTGAATATAAAAGCATATAAAAGCAATATGTTATTGCTAATATGCAGGGGTCAAAACAACAATAATGAGATCTAGTAACAGCAATAGCTAGCATGGGGTGGTTAATAACTATTCCAAGAATGCAACAAATTCCTTGAAATGATTGTGCCTCCTCTACAGTCTGCTGTTCCCTTTCTTGAATTTGAACCAACCAAACTGCCTGGGGTTTAGTTCTATGTTTACTTCTTCTAGTACCAGGATGCACAGGGCAGGTACACTACTCACTTGGGCAGACAGATAAAGAAAGTCCTGGAGTCCTCTGTGGATTTTACAGGCTTTAATGCTCTCTCAGGGAACCAAGTACACAGGCACACCAGGAGGTTGACAAACAAGGAGGCAGGCACAGGCCAGGTGTGTTGGGGAGGGGGTTGGATGAGCTAGGAGGCAGGCAGGCAACTGAGCCTCCCAGCCCCCCACAAATCTTTACTCTCTTTGTCAGGGCTCTCTTGTTGTCTCGCCGCTTCTGTAGTCACTCATCTTCTCTTAGCCATCCTCCCACAGCCATCTTTACATCCCTGACCTCTTGGTTCAGGTGTGCACACTTGCACATGTCCACACCCATGCCCCATGTGTACAGTCAGACATGCATGTCCTGTGTCCATGCTCCCAAGTGCCTTCCATATTAACACCATCAAGGCTGGAGGTGATAGCCACAGAAGTTAGTGGTACAAAAAGACTCATTAAAACACCCTACAGGGCCTCCCCGGTGGCGCAGCGGTTGAGCGCTGGGTTGCAAAGCTGCCCACGGCCTCTGCAGCACTGGTTCGATCCCCGGCTGCTCCCTGGCCACCAGAGGAGGGTCCCACATGGCGCGCAGACCTCTCCTGCCGCCCGCTGCTCCCCTCAGCAGTGTACTTCGCTCCTTCTGCCTGCTCTGCTCCCCGCTCTGGCTCTGGTGAATTCTCTCACCCTCCTGCACTTCTGATTGTACCCAGTGCTTATATAAATAAATAAATAAATCTTAAAAAAAAAATTAACAGATTGCTACTTTAAAAAAATAAATAAATAAATAAACACCCTACACTTTATCTTTGCTGTGTAACCTGGGCCAAATTACTTAACCTCTCTGTGTTTCAGTCTCTTCATTAATAATAATGGCAAACACTTATATGTAGTTGTAAATATTAATTAATTAATCCATGGTGAGAATTTAGAAAAGTGGTCTAAAGAGATAATATTGCTCATTAAATTTTAAATATTGTTGCATTAGTTAGTTCTTTTTAGTTCTGTCTCACCATTTATAAAATGGAGACACCTGTTTTACACAGATGTGAAGATTGTGTTAACATGTATGTATACTTAGACTAATGCCTGGCTCATAGCAAGAGTTCAGTAAATGTGTGTTGATTGTTTTAATAATTCTTATAATCTGCTGAGAGTTATTCCATGGCATGAATACTGGGCAGGGTTTTTAACCATTAATAATCAGTGGATTTTTATTTTTTTTTTTTTTATTTTTTAGAGGCATGTTTTTATTTGTTTGTTTGTTCGTTCGTTTTGTTTATACATTGTTTATACATGCACTGGGTACAGTCAGAAGCGCGGGAGGGCGAGAGAATTCACCAGAGCCAGAGCGGGGAGCAGAGCAGGCAGAAGGACCGAAGTACACTGCTGAGGGGAGCAGCGGGCGGCAGGAGAGGTCTGCCCGCCATGTGGGACCCTCCTCCGGTGGCCGGGGAGCAGCCGGGGATCGAACCGGCGCCGCGGAGGCCGCGGGCAGCTTCGCAACCCAGCGCTCAACCGCTGCGCCACCGGGGAGGCCCAATTAGTGGATTTTTAGATTACGATGACAGAGAAGTAAAATTAAATAAGTACCCCAGGACGTACTTCTAATTAAACCCTAATAGTTTTCCTGTGACAAATGTTAAAGTAGGTCATCTTTGCTATAAAGCAAACACTTTGGATTTCAAGATTTTTTCTCTTCAAATATGTCCTGTGAGATTTGAACTGCCTGGCTAAACAGTTAGTTTTATAATCTGTAGAATAGAAATGGAATAATGACACCTTCCTCAGGGTAGGTGTACATGTGACAATTAAAGCTGATTAAATATGTAAAATATTTATCAGAGTAGGCAGCTCTCCTGCCCACCTGTGACTGTGCAGGTGCTTCTTTTTTCTTTCTCCTTTTCCTAATAAACCTGTCCTTTTAAAATGTAAATATGTATGTGTGTGTGTGTGCGTGTGTGTGTGTGTGTGTGTGTGTGTGTGTGTATTTAGAGAGAGAGAGAGAACCCAGCAAATGATAAATCATCAGAGATTGGAAGACATTATGCATGGAAAAATTAGCTAATTTCACAAATATTTTTATTATAGAATCAGCAACAGAGAAACTAAACTTGCCGTTTGGGAGGCCCAGAGTTATGCAGGAAAACAAGGGACACTGTCTCCTTTATCACAGGGACTATATCAGTGGATTTGGGAAAACTATCATGATGCCTTTGTGGAGCTCTTATACCATCACTAACCCTCTGGTAAGTTCCATTGATCCACTTGGGCTGGAAAAAATGTGTATTTCACTAATACTCTGAAAGTTGAATTTTGTTTACAATAGAGTCCCAAAGACAGCCTACTAAACTGTCAGTGTCCCAGGTATTACCTGAAAGTACTTTTAGGTGTCATGTGGGTACCAAAAGAAAATACATTATTTTGCCTGGGGAACTTAAGAAGTGTTTACAGGTCAATTGACTAATAGGTAAGTCAGGTAGGGAAAAGATTTCAAGGTATTCAATAGGAAGCACAGAGGCCAGTGTGCTATTCACTTGATATTTCCCAAGTAGAAGATATTTCCTACCTAGAAGGTGGTGGTAACTTGTAAAAGTCTTTGTATTTATTTGATTATTGAATAATGACTTTACTATCTGTTGTGCACTGTCATAGGCACAGGAACACAATGTGAATTGGTGGAAATCCTTTCCTGAAGGATCTAGCACTCTAAAAAGTTATGTTGGGCTTAAAAGTACAGGTATGCTGCCACAGACCTCTCCCAGACTGGGGTTGAGAAGCCAGTCATTTAAATCCTTGTCCCTCTTCACTACCTGGCAAACTCCTTTTCAATAAATGGCACTGAGAAAGGTGGCTACCATGAGAAAGAAAATATTAGATTTCTACTTCATACCATATAGAAAATTAAATTGCTGGCAGATTTACAGAACTAAATGTGAACTGCAAATCCATATTTCCCTGTGTTTATCTTTATGACCTATAGGATAGAGAAAGATTTCTTATTCTTTTAGAATAAAATTTTATTGACTTACCACTGATTTATAATACTGTACCAACTTCGGAGTACAACTTCATACAATAGGTATGTATACCTCACTGCAGCCACCACCAAAATTCTAATGACATTCACATTCTCAAGTTGACCCCCTAATCATTCCCCTCACCCCATCCCCTTCCCTCTGATAACTAAAATTTTATAGTTAAGAGTTATTTTTGAGGCATTTTGTTAGTTCATTTGCTTTGGTTATTTTATTTCCATATATGAGAAAAACTATCTGATAGTTGTTTTTCACTTTCTGGTATTTTACATAGCATAACTACCTCAAGTTCCATCTATATTGATGCAAAAGGCAGGATTTCATCTTCTTTAATGACTGAGTAGTATCCCACTGAGTATAAAAAAAACAGTTTGTCTTTTTTTTTTAATGCAGGTATCCCCCAATGGGTATTTAGATTACTTTCATGCTTGTGAATAATGCTGTTATTAACATAGTGGGGGGGCGCATATTCCTTGGATAAATATCTAGGAGTGTCATTGCTGGATCATATGGTATTTCTATTCTTAGTTTTTTAAGGAATCTCCATTCCATTTAGAAAAGGATTTCTTAGGACTCCAAAACAACCATAAAATATGCAGAGGCGATAGATTTTGCTGATGTTATGGATGGGACAATATATTTGCATTGCATGTAAGAAACAATGACTATTCAGATTAATAATTAGGAAACAGAATAATACATTTCTACCAATAAACAAGTGAATAACAAACTGTAACTTAAAATGAGCAAGGTATATGAGCCAAGCAATTGAACCTCATTAGCAACCAGGGAAATATAAATAAAAGTCAAAGTCTGCCAAAAATCAGTCTAAACACTCCTTTGGGCCAGGAAGGGTTTTATTTAACATATTCTCAGCACATCAAAAATAAGCTGCCCAATAAATTCTTATTGAGTGAATTAATCTCAGTCATTATTTATAAAGATTTAAAGACAAAGCAGAACTTTCAATCAGAGCGGGTATCAACCATCACAGGGGGTAAATCAACTTTTTTCCCTTTATTCTGGAGAGAAAAATCTTACTATTTTAGATTCAAAAATTGATGACAAACCCAAACCTACTACTGTGGTTGGTAAGTGTACAGAGATGCCACATCTTTTTATGGAAAAGGAAGTGATCCTGTTTATTTACTCTTCTAATTCCAATTCAAGATTTTAGGAGAAAGACAAGGCATATTTTCCCTGCTGCTAATTAAAGCTTTGTTCAGAAAGCCAGCTCTGTTGCTGACAAAGGTTTAATTGTGGTCAGTGGAAGGAGAGCAATAATGCTGTTTCCCAGCCTGGGCAAACACTTGACAATGACCTGAGTTCCAATGTATGGTAAATGGCAACATCTCTTTATTAATGTGCACAACCGTTGTTTGTGATTTTCTTCAACATACTGTGAAATATACTATGAAAACAGTAATCTGAAGTCATTTATCCCTTACAACAGTTTCTTTTTCATTTTCGAGAAGGGCAATATATTCAAGACCAGTCTTACTATTCATTTCTCTGTTTCTGAAAAGTTCAGGTACTCCTAGGGGTTATGTGAAAATTTCTGTGGTTTTAGTACTTTTCCCTGCTATCTCACATTCCAGAATTTATATGAGCTTTAGTGGAAGCCAAAGACAGAGAGATTTGAAGTGGTCTCTGGCTAAGAAGAAGTTTAGTACAATTCTTTTTTGTTATTGTTTTAAAACTAGCTTCTTTGTTACCAAAAATTCCTGTCCTTTCACTGATCCCACAGAAGTACTTGTGTATTTCTCCCTCCTTGTGACAGGATGGAATTCTAGCAATTTTCTGCTTTCTAATTCAGAAATTACTCTGTTAGTATGTTGTGGTTCAAGAAAATTACATACAAGGATGTTTTGAGATTCACATAAAAATGTTGTATCAGTTCTGTTTGAAAAATCAGACTTTAAATAAGCACTTTTTGGAGCATGGACCCAATTGGCATGTGCCTTTAAGTTTTATGGAGCTTTTGTTTTTCTGTGGTTTTGGTGGGTTTTCTAATTTTTGTTGTTATTATCTCAGAAGAGTTCTGGGGAAGTAGTTGTGATTTCAAGTCATGTCCTACAACAACTGCTTCAAAACCATTAAGGTTGATCACTGTCGGGCCTACTCAGTAGGAAGATGAGAGCTGTTAGCTCTGTAGCTAGGTGAAAAGTTGAAAATAAGAGCAAGACTAATGATTTAAAATATATTTCAGAAATTTATTGTGCAATAGGGCATATTCTGAGAAGAAATGTAGTCAGCTTTGGAAAATACCATAGATGTACTTATCTCCCATATCCTTAAGTTCTTACAAAGCCTTTTTTGTTTCTAAAGCTTGTTATCTCTGATACTATAAAAGCTGATTCACTCTTGTTTGTCTTTAAAAAATAGGGGTATTATTGTGTGCTGCAACCATTTTTTTTTAATGATGAGGAATGATTTACTTTGTAGGAAAAAAGACACATGACCAGAATAATTTTAAAATATATAATTATTATTCTTACCATACAGCAGCATAATAATTATCCAATTCAAATAAATACACTTTGGTTTTTACATTTAGCCTACAGGTCAAATGAGTTTATAAGTTCAATAAAAAGAATTTTTCTGTCAGTTCTATTTTGTACCCATGCTAGACAAGAAAGGAAAACATCTCACTTTCCTGTCTGCACTCATCATCTACTTCTTTTGAAGAATTTTGAGAGTTAGGGAGTTCAGAATTTATCTCAGTGTCTGAGTTCTATTTATTGTTTTCCTGACTTTCTGTCCCTTGGCTTAAAAAACTTTAAGGAAGTCTTATGGCAGGAATGAGTGTGTGTGTGTGTGTGTGTGTGTGTTTTGGAGATGCTGAGGTCGGGGTTTACTGTTTTCTCACAAGAGCTCAAGACTCAGAAATGTGAGCTTACCTCTCCTGCATCCTTCTAGAGGGCTGACTATTGCAAAATCCCCCATTTATAAAAGAGGCCCCTTCCTGTCTCTTCCTAGTATTGCTGTCCTTATGTTGAACGCAGGCAGTTACTTTTACTTACATTATGGAAAATGTTTCTAAGGCTTACATGTATGTCCTGTAGAACTTACTAAACATGAAGTTTCAGAGTATTCAATACCACAACCTGTGGGGTAAGAAATACCAACTTAAAACTTTCTGGATGTCATGGGGTTGCTTAGTCAGCAAAGGATAGCTTGACTCTTCCATTTTACATCTTTATGTCCCCTTTATGCCAAATGAAGAAAAATTGTCATTCAGAGATGTTTACTATGATATATATTTGAAAGAATATAATCAAATGTTTTTAGCTTTTCAGTGTCTGCCACCACCAGGGGAATAAAATAGACATTGAGAGTAAATCTATGGTCTCTAAGACAAATATCACCTTTTTTGTGGTTTTTCTTCTGTTTTGGTGGATTCTATCACTCAGGAACATCCTCAAAAGAGGAAGTAGGGAAGAGGACATTTTTTAATGTATCTCAAAATGTTTTTTATTCTACACTAATTGATGGTTTAGCTTTAGAATTTTAGATAAATTATGTCTTTAAGATTAATAAGACATTAGACTTCCTAGACTGGTCCACTAGTATTTTTATATGTTCTCTACTTTTCTTCTATCTCTTGTCTTTAATTCCACTTTTTGAGAGATATAGGCAACTTCATCTTCTAGATCTTATTGGATATTTTAGTATTAGTATTTAAATTCTAAGATCTCTTTCTGTTACCTTTTCCATTATTTTTTTTAGTGCTTTCTGCTCTTTCCCTGGGGATGCCATATATGGTCCTATCTCTCTGATAGTAAGTTTTCTTTTGCTCTCTCCATTTTCTTTTTTTTTTCTTGATTCTTCCCCCACTTTTTCCAAATATCTCGTGGCCCTTGGCTGTCAGCCCACATTTTAAGAGTAAGTCACTAAACTTTGTTCCTGGAACTTGCTAGTTGAGAGACTTAGTATAGGTTGATCACAATGAGAACCAGCCATTTTATTGGGGATTCCCACTAGAAATATCTAATTATTCTTTTTCTTGGTTTGTTTAAACAAACAACAAAAAGAACTTCTAATCTGACTCAGCATATAAGGGTACATGTGGGAAATGAGATGGAGGAATCTTACCATTCATTATATAGATTTTTATTTGCTCTCATTGTTTTCATCTCGGCACACCTGCTCTCTGGGGTGCCTTGTGTCCTGTAGTCTGGTTGTCCCTGTAGTCTGGTTGTCCCTCTGATTCAGCCTCTTCAGTGACTGGGCATTATGCTTGGCTTCTTTTCCACAGTCTCAGTCTATCCTATTCCTTTTAGTTCTACACACATTCCCTGTCTTAGGAGACTCCAAGTTCTACCCTTCTGAGGTTTCACAACAGGAATTAACTTCTTTGTGCTCTCCCCAACGATGGACCTGATCTGAGTCAGGTCACAACAGTAAACAATGTTTATCTGATTTCCAGTTTCTGGAAATGTCTTTTCATCCTTTGTGTCTTTTCATCATTGTTGTCTTTATAATAAGATTTCAGAAGGGAGCAAAGATAAATGTTTTCAGTCAGATGAGAAGTTTCTTCAACATCTGTACAGTGTTTTCCACCTGGAGCATTGCAGAACATTTGGGGGTACATTCTCTGCTTGACATTCCTCAGACTTCCCTTGTCTTCTGCTCCTGCCCATTATATACCTCATCACAGTGCTCTCTTGCCTAAGAGTATGGCACACAGTATACATTGCCTTATCCTTTATAAATTGAGCTTATGCATTTTACTTATTTATTTTTCCTTCAGTTTTATTGAAGTAAGTTTAAGGTGTCCAACATGATGATTTGATATACATGCATACACACACACACAGCAAAACTATTACCACATGCATTTTAGGTACAACAACTGATTTTTGTTTTATTGTAATGCAGTGAATAAAATAAGGATATCCTATTTTAATCATTTTTATAAATTTTAGAAATGTTTGTTAAGAATGTATACATTCCTACTATGAGTGAGACCATCCAGTATTTTTCTTTTTCTTTCTGGCTTATTTCGCTGAGCATGATCCCTTCCAGCACCATCCATGTTGCTGCAAATTGCATGTGTTTATCTTTTTTGAATGCTGAGTAATATAGCAGGAATTTAGAAAACTTAAATAAGGGACCAGGAAAATGAAGAACTATAAGAAAGTGAAAATCAAAATCAACAAATAACTATGAACCAGAGACACTCTATGGGGGGTGGGGTGCGGGGAGGAGAGGGATTAGGGTCAAAATAAGGGGGTTGCAATTGTATGGGGAATATAAAAATAAAATTTATATAAAAAAAGAATGTATACATTATGAGAAGTCATGGGCATATAAATGAAAATCTGTGAAAAAAAATAGAAACATGTTTACTTACTAAGGCTAATCAAACTAGGATCAGGCAATACTGTATTGCTTTAAATGTGTGGGTTAGGATGCTGCTAGTGAATAATTATTGTATTAGTCTTTTTTTTAAGATTTATTTGTTTATGCATGTAAGAGCTGGGATATAGGCCAGAGGTACAGGAGTGGGAGAGGATTCACCAGAGACAGAGTGGGGAGCAAAGCAGGCATCTCTCCTGAAATACACTGCTGATGGGAGCAGCGGGTGAGACAGGAAAGGTCTGCTGTGCCACACCATGTGGGTCAGCAACCTGGTCGAGGATGAAACTCCTTCTGCAATCCCTGTGGATTGTTTCATAGTGCTGAGACTAAACCCCTTGCGCCACCAAGGAAGGCCTTAATGTATATGTCTTTAAATAGAATTACAAAGAAAATTGTAAAAAATATATATATTCCCACGTTAAATGATAAATGAAGCATACCTACAAATTTATTTAAATGCTCAAATAAAAAATTTTAGACAGCTATACTTTCTTTTAATTAGTCTTAGGTTGATTAGAAGTCCTTACCCAACTATACATAGTTCATATCTGTACTTTAAAAATGAATTGTTTATATTTTATTCTGTTTTTATTGGCAAGTGCAATATATATCAGTCACATAAAAGTTAAATCCTGAAAAGGATCCTGGTTTTTAGTAGTTGCTCCCATTATTTCTTTGCTCTCAGTTTAGGTTTTGTTCTGCAAAATATTCCTTGCCAAGGTGTATTTGATTTACCTTCCTGGTGTCCCTAACCAGAAGGGAAGCACAGAAGAAAACATTGCTGAAGACATCAATTTCCATTGCTTGCGTAGACCTGATTCACTAAGAAAATAGGAAAAGGTTAAATGAAAAACATTCGAGGGAAGTTACAAACCATATAAGGCCACGAGTGAGCCACAAATGTGGGCGTAATTTTTTTTTCTCTTTCCTCTCTTTCAGCAGGGAAACACATTGCTTCTTCTCAATGTCTCAGACTGTCTGCGGGCTGATGTCAGGGTTGCTCCTTCTGAGAGCCAAAAGTGTTCCTTCTACTTACCAGACTTGAATATCACCCACGGCTTCCTCTACCCACTTGGTTAGTATGGCTTTTTTTTAGAGCAGCAGCTTAGGAAGCCATCATCAACTGGATGTGGGCATGTGCCTTAAACATATGCTCCTCTCTGAAACTACCTGCTTGGGCTAAACTCGCTACCCAGGAGGCTTGCAGTGGTTGTGGGCTGGCCAGATGTGACAGCTATAATAAAGACTAATACATTTTGCAGTGGGAACCACATATAAGCTCACATCTGGGCCAGATGTGAAGGGAGTTTGGCAAGTTTAATTTTAATTTTAAAACTGAAGATTCCTTATAGAGGGAGTCAAAAAATCATTTTGTTTTTCCCTTGTTACCATCCAAGGCCTGCATCAAGCCTGCATTTGTACCTGCAAAAAGAAATCAGGCTGTAATTCAGGCCTCTCACTCATACTGATATCCAACAATTTAAATCCAGGCATTAAGCAGTCAAATGAACTGTAAGATTTTTAAGAAAAAAATTTTTTCATGGGACCATGCAAAAGCCACTGTAATTTTTCTCAAACTCCAATCTCTTTCCTGTTTAGTAGGAAATACCATTTTCATGAAATTACCCATGAGATTTTCAACAATTTCAACTTCTGGGAATGTGTTTATTCTTGATATTTGGCTTCATTTTTTCCTGGAAACTGTGACCAAAGAGGCCAATTGGGAGATTTATAATTTAGAGCTGCTGAAATTATAGTTGGGGAAAAAGTTTTAATGAAAGCAAGTAGCACATCAATTTAAAAGTTCCAACAGAATTAGGAAAAATAAACTGATATATTTTAATAAAACACCTAATCAAAATTAGAAATACCAAGTTTGCATAAACCTTATGATAAACCATAAATAATTGTAACATCTTAGCTAATAAAATTCTTTTAATCGGCATATAAGATTGTTCCCGTTTGGCCATAAGTTACTGGTTGACACATAAATGTTTGCCTTGACAAGGAAATGAAGTTAATAACTAAACAACTAGGCACATGGAGTTGTTAGAAATTCCATTGTAAGCTAATTATTATTTTTCTCTGAAAAGGATGCAATGTTTGCTTGCTCTCCCAATTTTCATAACATAGTTTTATAAAGTAGAAAAAACTTAGGCTATCAGATGACCAGGAACAGTATGTGAAACATTCAGGACAAAACCAGCAAAAACTGGTTTGCCCTTCCTCTTGGTGTCACCTGTTGGTCTTTGATGCAAGTGTTAGGTAAGATACCAAACGGTAATTTAGAAATAAAAATGATCATGTCAACATTTACCAGTTACAGCTTTTTGGTTTTTACCATTCTTGCCCCATTATGAAAAAAGTTTTTATTGAAGTAACACATTGCTTTATAACCTTATAGAAGTTTATAAATCAGCATCTGTCTGTACTACATACAGTTCTAATTCTGTCCTTTGATGTATAGTTGACCCTAATTCCCAGATTGATCCTCCCTCCATCCCTTCTAGTAGCCACTTAATTGGTCTTATAGTCTGAAAGTTTATTTTTGTTTTATTTAATTCATTGGGTTTATGTATTCTATATACTGCATTTGAATTAAGTCATAAGGTTTGTCTTTGTCTGACTCATTTTACTAACCATAATACCTTCTAGGTCTTATCCATGTTGTTGCAAGTGGCAGGAGTTTATCTTTTTATATAGCAGAGAAATATTCCATAGTGTATACATACCACATTTTTTTTCTTTTCTTTTCTTTTCTTCTTTTTTTTTTTTTTTTTTTACTGTTTTCTTTCTAGAATCTTTTAAAAATATTTCTTCTTATTTTGAGGTATTTGGTTTACAACACTGCATATGAATTAGAAGAAGAGGTTCACACCTTCTTAGATGTATGTTACCACACCACCCCCACCATCAAAGTACCCGTAGTCCTTAACTCCAGGCCACAGGGACCCTCCTCCCTGAGCCCCCACCCCTACCCTTCTTTCCACTGTAGTAGCCTCAATTCTACAATCCTATTTCTAGGATTTGTTTTAGTTTAGTTTTGTCAGTTCCATTGTTTTATCTCTCTATATCCCACATGAGTAAAATCATCCAATATTTGTCTTTCTCCTGACTTATTTCACTTTGCATAATCTCCTCCAGGTCCATCCATGCTGTTGCAAATGGCAGAAGTTCATCTTTTTTATCGTTAGCTAGTATTCCATTGTGTGTATGTGTGTGTGTATAGATACATACATATATCTATATCTATATATAGATAGATATACATATATCTATATATACCACATGTTTTTAAGCTACTGCTCTGGTGAAGATTGTTTCTATAACTTGGCTATGTAAATAGTGCTGCAATGAACATAGGAGTGCATATATCCTTTTGAATGCAAGAATGTTCTTGCATTCTTTGGGTAGCTACTTAGAAGTGGATCTGGATTATATGGTAGACATATTTTTAATATTTTGAGAAACTTACATAACATATTGTTTTCCATACAGGCTGGTCCTGTCTAAATACATAGCAATAGTGCATGAGGTGCCCATTTTCTACACCCTCACCAGCATTTGTTGTTGCTGGATTATTTTTTATGTGTGCATGTGTGTGTGTGTTTGTATATATATATATATATGCCATTCTCACATGTGTGAGGTGTTATCTCACTGTGGTTTTGATTTGCATTTCCCTGATGGTAAGTGATTTTGAAATTTTTTTCATGTATTTCTTGCCATATTTAATCTTCTTTGGGGAAGTGCCTTTAGCTCTTCTGCCCATTTTTTAATTGGGTTCTTTGTTTTCTTTTTGTTGAATTATGTGAACTCTTTGTAGAGTTCAAGTAATAGCCCCTTTTCAGATTTTTTTAAAGGTTTATTTATTTATGCATACTAGAACTGGTGTATAGGCCAGAGGTGCAGTAGGTGAAAGGAGTCACCAGAGATGGAGTGGGAAACAGAACAGGTGGATTGACTGAAACACACTGCTGAGTGGAGCAGTGGGCGCAAGAGACAGTAGAGGTCTGATGTACCATGTGGGTTAGCTTCCTGGTGGGCCAGGGATCAAATGCATGCTGCAGAGGCTGTGGATAGCTTCACAGTGCTGTGCTTAACCCCTTGCACCACCAGGGATGCCCCCTTTTCAGATTTATCATGTGCAAATATTTTCTCCCATTCAGTAAGGTATCTTTTTGGTTTAATTATAGTTTCTTACACTGTACAGAAATTTTTAAACTGCAGTAGAAGTTTTTGAATATGAAATAGAAATGTATTCTCTTACAGTTATGGTGGCCATACTTTCTAAGTTATCGTGTTGCTAAGGCATTCTCTCCTTCAAGAGGAGAGAATGTAGGGAGAATCCCTCCTTACTGCTTGCAGTTTGTGAGGGCTCATATCTTGACTTATAGCGGCATTACTCCCATCTCTGCCTCATCTTCATAAGGCCTTCTCTCTTCCTCGTCTTACAGGACTGCAGACCTTGAATTTACAGTCAAGGCTAAATCCAGTATAATTTCGTCTCAAGACCCTTACCTTAATTATATTTGCAAAAACCTTATTTTCCTCTCACATTTACAATTATAGGGGTGTTAGCACTTGGCCATACCTCTTTGTGGCTCACCACTGAATCCATTTTAGGTACCAAATGAATAAAATAGCCTGTAGTATTGATGACCTTTATGGGATCATATTTAATATCTCTGTTTTATGTTAATAAATTTATTGTATTATATAATATTAATAGTCCTATTATGTAGTATGTAACATTTTCTCTGATAGCTGGATTTAATGAAACTCATTTGTTTTGCAGCAAACAATAGAACTCCTGATAATAAATATGATACTTTAATTACAAGTAATTTGGTCCCTATGTATAAAGAATTTAAGAGTAAGTATATATTTATCTTATTAATTTAAAAATACCTGAGTCACTGAAGTTATAAATGAAATAAATCTTTTATTGCATTTTTTTCCTAATCTTATGAATCATTTGTTCTGATGTTTTAAATATAAGAACAGGAATGATTTATGACAGTTTCTTTGTAACTTGAGATGAATTATTTCTAGAATTTTCATAATTTTTTAATACTAATTTAAGAGCCATATAATTAAGGTAGTTTGTGTGTTCTGATCACTTTTTAGTATTCACTGTCCCAAGAGTAAATGAACCTCATCCCTGGGGAAGAATTTGGAGACATATTTAACTATAATTTCAAGAATGTAGTTCAAGACATGAACAAAATTCTATTACCAATGCTTTTTTTTTTTAATGTTTCATGGATTATTTTGTAGAAGTTTCCAATCACAACTGACAATTATTGAAGCAGAATTTGATGCTGTTTAATATTTCCATGTTCAACAGAGGGAGATATTTTTAACATTTTTTTTTTTTTTTTAAGAAATATGGGATTACCTTCACAGTGATCTTCTTGTAAAACATGCCAAGGAAAAAAATGGAGTAAATGTGATTAGTGGGCCAGTATTTGATTATAATTCTAATGGTCATTTTGATTCTCCAGATGAAATTAAAGGGTAAGTAATCTGAAACCAAAGGGTCTTTTTGATTTTGAAAGGATAGAACATCATGGGTGAAACTTCAATATTTTAACTAAAACCAGGTATTCTAAATATCATATAGTACATTTACATAGTGATACTACATATATTTTCAAATATGGAAGTATTTAACAAAAAATTGTATATGGCCAGAATTAAATCAATGGATGAAGGAAAATACCCAGGAAAAAAGAAACCATCAAGAAAAGTGTATTAATGGAACATTACTAAATTAATGGCCAAAGGAAAACTGTGATTTGTAGAGGTTAAGAAGATAGGGGAGGCTCTATGAACTATCAGTAAGTATAGAACAATCTAGCAATGGATTTAAAAATCAAGGTGATAATTAATAATGTTGTCCAATGGTGGAATATTCATAAAAGTATTTCCCAGTAAAAGATATGAGTTTTATGTGGAAAAATGATGTTACTAACCTGTACATCTTTGTAACTTAGACCTGGTCTTAGTATTTGCTAAATGTTACCTTTGTGGCCCACAGTAAGGGAGAGTTTCACCTGTTATTTCTGTTATCAAAATGTGTGACGGGTCAAATCAAACAATTATAGAGATTGTCTAAGCCTAGATTATATAAAGCAATAATTTCTCCACTATCTGGTAAGGTAACATTTATGACTACTAAATGTGCAGCCTTTTAAATTTTGTTTTCTTCATCCTTATTTCAGTGTTTATTGATTCTTTTATTATTTAATGATTCTAGCAAACTCTGAGAGCAATTTACTACATGCTAGGTACATTTCTAAGCACTTAAATACTTTTAATCCACAAAACATCTTATTAGATTCCACTTGACCTTATATAGAAGTGAGAAAACTGAGGCACAAAAGGTTTGAATATCTTGCCTATTTCACAACTAATATGTGATAAAGCCGGAATAAAACCTTAGTCTAACTCTGAGCCCATGCAGAAATTTTAAGTCTCGGTGGGGTATTACTACTTATCCCAGTTTATGTTACTTTTAGTGGACTCATACTAATAGTTAATTTACCTTTAATTTGCACTTAAAACTTTTACAAACACTTTCATGTTTGTTATCTGAAACTGAAGAACTCTTGTATCCATTGTATGGATTTACCCCCATGTTTGTAATGTGAAGTTGGTAGCAGAAAACTATAGCCATATTAAAGTTGAGGAAACAGTAAATTATAGAGGATTAGCACACGTATCAAAAAACTTGTGGTAGTGCACACCTAGAGCCTATATTTGTAATCCTCACTCATTTCTCTGATCCTATACTATTAGAAATCAACAAAACTAGGAAACACAGGAGGTAGAATAGAATGTTTTGCTTTCCTTTGTATTCTAATAGTTTCTCATAGTATTTAAATAATGAAGGCATGGTTTTCTATAAATGTCTGCTCTAAATCATCGAAGCAAAACTATGCAATACAACTTGTACTTTCTATTCATTTAACTTATTTGACCATATTTTAGCATTGGCATTTCTTTTAAAAAATGTTAAGATATTTATAATTTTTAGAAATGAAAGTATAATAACATCAAATCTTTTCATTTATGTTTTAGATATGTATCAAACACCAGTGTTCCCATCCCAACACACTATTTTGTGGTTCTGACTAGTTGCAAAGATAAGATCCACACCCCTGACAAGTGCACTGGCCCCTTGGATGTCCTTCCATATATCATCCCTCACCGACACACCAACGTGGAGAGCTGTCCTGTGAGTATGCTCAGGGAAAGTCCCTAGGAACTGAGAAAGTGGTTAGCCAGAGTTCATCTGAGTTTTTGTAGAAATGAAATGACCCTGACTACTATGTATACTTTTTAGGCGTTTCATGACCTAATTTATGAGGGTTTTTTTTTTCCAATATTGATCTCTATATTATTGCTATCAATTTGAAAATATATATATACCTATGTGAGAACATGTTTATAAATAAATATTTCATGTATTTTATATATATACACATTATTCACACTCATTAATAAGGGAAGGAATGGTATCTTACTAATTTTATTTTAATCTGGACACAAACCTTAATGTTTTGCACCAAAGTTGACACTGAATTAGTGTTTTGTAAACTGATATATAAATATAAAAATTCCATCAACTTGAAACAAGTAATTTTAAGAAGTGGCTTAACATCATTTATTAAGTCACTACAAAAAATGTTTTGCATCAGTGCCTGTTCTGCTCTCCACTCTCTCTGGTGAATCCTCTTACCCCCGCGCCTCTGGCTTGTATGTATAAATAAATCTTTAAAAAGAATTTTTTTTTGAATCAGGCAAATTCTATGTTAATAGCTATTTCAGAATGTTGTTTATAGGAAAAAAAATGTATTCTGCTAGTTGGGTTGAAGTCATTAAACAAATTTATTGAGAATCAATATAAGTGTGCAGTATTGTGATAGAAACTTATCAGAATGCACCAAAGAGGAATGCAATGTCTCTGAACTCAAGGAATTCATATACAACTTTGATATATAAATGAGATAGAGACACGTAACTGGGTCAATCAGTAATACAATAGTTATTTTTAAAGTTAAAAGTAAGACACACCACAAAGCCAGGATTAATTGCCAAATACTATTATTTAGGATTTAGTCTTTCAAATTCAAAATACTTTTGGCTGCAAAGATCAATAAAGGTTTCATTAAATGGGACAGGAGCAGGGCTAGGCCCTGAAGGATGGGCAGAATCGGAACAGATGGAGATTAGTAAGGCGTGAGTGAGAACTGGTGAGGATTTGGTAGCCAATTGGATGCTAGAGTCAAAGGAAAAGAGACATTTAAAGATGAATCAGAGATTTTAACTGTAGGTAATTAGGAAAAAGAGACGCTAGGATTGAAAACTATTTTGGCAGCTAGATAAGATAATTAAGTATAGGCACGTTAAGTTTGTGGAAATAGTTGTTCATATGGAAAGTCTTATAGTCTATTAGGATTGGAAATTAAAGCTTAAATTCTAGACAAGATTGGGATCCATCTATTTTCTTTTACTTCTTCAACACTTAACTGCGTTCATCACACTGTGCTATTGGAGGTACAGAGGCATAAATTTATGTATTTTATAGATATACATAAATTCTATTTAAAGGGATGCATATTCTAGCATTTAGAGAATGCTCTAAGAAAATAGAGTAAGAAAGAGATGAGTGACATGAGGAGAAATGCTTCCTGTAGGGTACGGGCATTCCAGTTGAGTCTTTAAGATAGGATTTGAACTTGAGTATTTTAATGTTTTTTCAGTGACTAAAGTTTGAAGGCAAAGTTTAGAGGTTGAACACTGGGTCACTCACAGTCCTAGAGTGAGGAAGAGTTTCCAAACAGGAAGCAATCAGAAGGTGTTGTCTAGTTCAATTTCTTCCTGTTTTTCTTGTCATAATTTTATTTAGTTGAGACAAAGAATGTCCTCCTTTTTCACTTCCTCTTCCAATGGAAGAGTTCCTGGTACAGTGTTATACTCTTTACCACCAAATCAGGATTAAATATTTCTTTATCACAGAAGGTCTGGCTAGCCATTATAGACTGATTAAAATAGGTTTTTAAAAAGAAAGTATTTGCTTTTCCTGTTCTAGGCCCTTATTGCTTTCTATCCAGGGTGTAAGGTCAGGACAGGACACAGTATAGGTTTTCTGATCCCATGCAGACCGGGTAAAGGAGGAGTCAGAGTCCTCAGTGGTTTTTTGCTGGTCTTTTATTGGGGTTCACCAGGCATATGGCAGGCAGGGGTGCTGGCTGGGGCGCTGGGAGGCTGGCAGGCCTCCCAGCCCCCAGCAAGTCTTCACTCTATCTGGGCTCTCTAGCGTTCGTTCTGCTGCTTCTCGGCTTCTCTTTCGGCTTCTGCTTCGGCTTCTACTGCTGCTGCTGGCGTCCCCGTGATGCCGCCCTTAAAAAAGCACAGTCTTAGCTCAGCTGAATCCCATCCACCTAGGCCCACACCCTATTCCAGGTGCCCGCCATCAGGCATGCATTCAGGACAAGGATCCATCATCTATCCTGATGGCGGAAGGGCAGAAAAGCCTGATATTTTCTTTACCCTACACAGGGCTTTAGAAAATTAATCATAAATTTCATTGTTGCCTGCTTTCTTAATGCATTTGCTCTTGGTGGTCTTCAGATTGAAAGACTAGTGGAATATCAAGGCAGATATATGAGATGTAGTCTAGCACAGAACCGGAATTCTGAGTTTGTTGGACATCTTGGGTTCAATTATTGACCTCATCTCTTTGGGTAAATAAACTAATGTCACTTTCTTCAATTGTATGAAAAGAATTCACCTCCTTTCATGAAGTTGCTGTGACGATTAACCAAGATATTTTATTTATTTTTAATAGGTTTTTTAAGATTTATTTATTTACGTGTACAGGGCAGAGGTGGTGGGGGTGAGAGCATTCACCAGAGACAGAGTGGGGAGCAGAACAGGTGGATTGACTGAAATACACTGCTGAGGGGAGCAGCAGGCAAGACAGGAGAGGTCTGCTGCACCCGTGTGTGTCACCTCTCTGGCCGGGGATTGAACTCCTGCTACAGTAGCTGCAGATTGCTTCATAGTGCTTACACGTAACCCCTTGTGCCACCACGGAGGACCGTAAACAAGATTTTTTTTATATAAAAACTTAAAAATTTCCAATAAATAGTAAGTAAATGGTAGCCATTAAAAAAGAATCACATCTCATGATGGAGTTACATTATAAAGTCAACACAAAGTGAAATTGTATACAGGCAAAATATCCTATAATCAAACTACTCAGGAAAGTACCATATATAACAAAAACTGTTCCTTAATATCTATCCAAATCAGTCAACATTTTCACTACTATTTGAACTAGTAACTGTGCTTTAAGCACCCAATGAAATAGTTGGCATGCTTTAGGATTACATTGTATAAAAATCTCTATACTTTTAAATATTGTAATCACTAAGTGTGGGAGGTACTCCCACTATAAGGAGCCTGAGGGAACTGATATTTGTTGTAGAAATAATAGATTCACAGTTCTTCCTCTTGCTTGCTCTAGGAACTCTATTCATATTTCTTTATATTCTTCCTTTTCTTGCTCCTCTCCTTTTTCTCCTTTCAACTTTGTATCATTAAACCCAATCAGATAAATAAGGATGTTATCTTAAGTCCAAGTGACTATTCTTATTGTAAATTATTCAGCAGATTTTGGAAAATACAGGTATTTCCCGTGTGGATGAGATATTAAGATTGTAAACACAGATTTGGTACTAAATCATGGAAGTGTGAGGTAAAAGTGCCAAAGGGAAAAAAGTGGAGAGATGGGATCCAAATATCAAACTGATAGAAATGTCTGCATTTCCAGCATAGAAAAAACTAATTAGTTGGAGATATAGAAAGAATTGTCGAACAAGTGAAAAGTTAGAAGGCAAAGGAGGAACTTTCAGAGGCTTGGGGTAGTCAACTAAGCTTCTGAAAAAATCCACTCAAGTCATTTTTGACAAAGTAGTTTCATTAGTGTAGTAGCAGCATTTAAGGAGCAAGACTAAGGAAGTAATTATGCGAGAATCATTGGGGGGAAAGTGATTATGGGTTGAAAATGATATTGCTTCAAAAAAAAACCTCACAAACTGTGTTGTATTTTGGGGCTACACAATACTTCTATTCATATAACAGGTCATATATATTACATGTATAATCAAAAGCATGTATTGTAATATAGGCTATAAAAACTGTATATAAAAGGCTACTCTTCTGTTGGGATATACTAGTACAGCTGGCAAAGTTGTCTATAGGTAGTTTCTTTTCAGATGGGTTGGTGCTGGTGAACTACCTGATATTAAATAGCTTGAATCTCACCCCTGCCTAAATATGATTAAGTTTGTACTTTAGATAATTAATTAAAATTTTAAAATAGGGAAAATAGTCAGGTGTTCACTGAACATTTACTTGGATGTGTATCAAATAATCTATGAGAGAACAGAGTAATATAAGCCAACTGAGAGAAAACTTAAAAAAAATGATTGAATTAAGTTCCCAGTGGAAATAGGAGCTCAAATTTATACATTGCATATTTATTAAAAAAGAAAAAAACAACAAAAACCTCCTATTGTGAGTCTCACACAGAGAAATGCCTTAGTGGTTAGAAACAAAAAATAATTTCCTTTTACACTTCCTCTTGCTCAAATAGTAGCTGCCTATTTTAAGGCTCTATATTTAAAAAACACTGTGCTGAAGTCAAGTGAGAATTATTCAAAGATATTGAATTAAGCCAGCTATTATACTTTCTTTTAAAAAATTTTAACTGAAAATTAACAATGTCATACAAATACCAGAAAATTAATAAATAAGGAATTTCATAGAAATCTATGGCTTTAAGTTATTCAACTAACTTTTATAGAGTAAAAAAACAATTTAAAGTTATATGGTCAAAAAATACTTGAAAAGATACTCAACAATAATAATACTTAGTGTAATTAGATTTAAACATGGATAAAATATTATGTCACACATTGGTTTGGCACGGATATGGCAAGGATATGGGGAAATGGAATTATCCTCCATAGCCAATGGAACTGTTAATTGCTATTAACACTTTGAGGAATGCTAGTTTTCACATCAGGTAAAGTTATAAAATTGCATGTAGTCTGTGATTCTATGATCCAGCAATTCCATCTGTATATCCTAGAGACTCATGTTCTTCAACACAGGAGACATGTGCCAACCTATCCATTACAGTGTTACTTATAATGCAAAAAATCATCAATATAATGGTGTAAAAGCTAAACCATGCCACATATTAGTGAGAAAATACCACAACTATGGCTAATAGCAAGTAAAATCACTACATCTAGATAGAGCACCATGGATAGATTACAGACATGATGAGTGAAAAAGTAATTATAGATTACTATTTATGTCATTTACATAACTGAAAACTGAAACAAATGCTATATATTGTATATTGATGTGCAGTAAAAGTTCAAAAATATAGGCAGAATTTATACTGATTTATAATAGTGATTATATCTGAGTAGATGAAGGGAACTTAAATGTCACTTGTAATATTTTATTTCTTTAAAAATATGTATCTGCAAGTAAATAGAAAAATAGCTAAACTTTATGACTTTGTAATGGTCTGTGTTTATTGTAGAATATTTGTTTCTTTTTCTTTTTTCTTTATAGATTTATTTACGCATACAAGAGCTAGGGTACAGACCAGAGATGTTGAGGGGGGAGAGGATTCACCAGAGACAGAGTGGGGAACAGAATAGGCAGATGGACCAAAATATACTGCCGAGGGGAGCAGCGGGCAAGACAGAAGAGGTCTGTCCCCTGGCGGGCTGGGCATTGAACTCGTGCTGCAGAGGCCTTGGATTGCTTCATAGTGTCGTACTCAATCCCTTGTGCCACCAGGGAGACCTGTTTTTTCTTTTAATAATAAAATTTAGCTATATCAGATTAAGATTTAAGGCAATAAAATCATAGGAAAGGACAACTTTTGAATAATAAAAGATCTTTTTTCCTGTTAATGAAAAATCATGCTCTATGGAAAATAGTCACTTGTTTCTCTTTTTCAGGAAGGTAAACCTGAAGCCCTTTGGATTGAAGAAAGATTGGAAGCACATGTCGCCCGTGTCCGTGATGTGGAACTTCTTACTGGACTTGACTTTTATCAGGAAAGATTAGAGCCTGTCTCTGAAATTTTGCAGCTAAAGACTTATTTACCCACATTTGAAACCGTCATTTAACTTATATATAAAATAATTTTGGCAAAATGCAAAGTATTTCTTTTGTTAAAAAATCGTTTTCTGTTTTTCATTAACTCCTCTAAAAACCTTGTTGCATATTTTCATTTTTCCCATCTCTCTTTTTCATTTCTATGAACATGTATTATTTTCACATTACCTTTATTTTTTACACAGAGATCACATTATGTCATACATTCTATATTTACTATCTCACATATAATCTTTGGCTATATCATTCTGCCTATCATTAAAAAGAAGGGACAATAAGGGCCTCCCCTGATGGCACAGCGGTTGAGTGCTGGGCTGCGAAGATGCCCGCAGCCTCTACAGCGCCAGTTTGATTCCGGGCCGCCGGGCAGGCGAGGGTCCCACATGGCCGCAGACCTCTCCTGCCGCCCGCTGCTCCCCTCAGGAGTGTGCTTCATCACTCTGCCCGCTCTGCTCTCCGCTCTAGCTCTGGTGAATTCTCTCACCCTCCCGCGCTTCTGACTGTATCCAGTGCTTGTGTAAATAAATAAATCTTAAAAAAAAAAAAAAAAAAAAAGAAGGGACAATAAGAGGTATATACCACTTTCAAATTTAATTGATTTTGTCAAAAAACTTTTCATATCTGGCAATTAGATATTTATTAAAACAATAAATTATTGAATTTATTAATTTTATTATTAGGTGAACAAACAAATGATAAGAAAATGAAACAGCCTTCTTGTTTATATGCAGAAATCTTTAGTAGTCTGGATAGAAGATCACACCAGCCACAACATTCCCTTAAGCCAAAGCCTAATCTAGAGCAAGTCCCACTGTTCTTCAATTTTATGAAGGTTTAGAGAGGTGGGGAAGTTTCAGAATAAAAGTTTGAAGCTAGAGAGTTTGGTTCATAAGATTTAAGGAAAGAAGTCATCTCCATAACATCAAAGTACAAGGTGCAGCAAACATGCTCACATAGAAGCCGCAGCAAGTTATCCAGAGGGATTAGCTAAGATAGTCGATAAAGATGGGTACAATAAACCACAGATTTTCAGTGCAGACCAGTCTTATTTTGAGATTCCATCTAGGACTTTCATAATTAAAGAGGAGAGATCATGGCCTTGATTCAAAGTTTCCAAAGACAAGCTGACTTTCTTGCTAAGGGCTAATGTAGCTGGTGACATGAAGTTGATACCAATGTTTATTTGCCATTTTGAAAACCCTATGGACTTTAAAAACTACACCAAATCTTCTCCGTGTTCTTTAAATGGAATAACAAAGCCTGGATGTTTACAGCATCCAGGCAGCACATCTGTTTACAACTTGGTTCACCAATTATTATAAGCCACAGTTGAAAATTACCACTCAGAAAAAGATATTTCTTTCAAAATATCACTGCTCATTGACAATGCACCGGGTCACAAATGAACTCCATTGAGGATGTACACAGAGATTAATGTCATTTTCATGTCTGCTAACAGAACATTCATTCTGCAGCCAATGGATCAAGGGGTAATTTTGACTCAAGTTAAATGTTTTTAAGAAATACATTTCGCGAGAACACAGCTGTTAGTGATTTCTGTGATGTAAAGGTTAAAGTAAACTGAAAGGATTTACCTTGGTATAGATCATTAAGAGTATTGGTAATTTGTGGGAGGAATTAAAATCAGCATTCACAAGAGCTTGGAAAAAGTTGTTTCCATTCCTTATGGATGACTTCGAGATAGTGACTACAGATGTGGTCACTATCATTTCTAAGAAGACTTAGAAATGGAGGCTGAAGATAGAACTGATTGTTGTATGCTTATGAAAAAACTCGAAGGAATGAGGACTTGCATCTCACGGGTGAACAGAGAGTGGTTTCCTGAGATGGAATCTACTCCTGCTACAAACAGTGAGTGAAAGGACAACAAAGGTTTTAGAATATTACACGGTGTAGTTGATAAAGTAGCAGTAGAGTTTGAAAGGATGACTCCAACTTTGAAAACACTAGGTAAAATGCTTCTCAAAGGCATCACAGCCACAGAGAACTCTTTCATGAAAGGGAAAGTCAATGTAGCAAACTTCACTGTTGCTTTATTTATTTATTTTTTTTAAAGATTTATTTATACAGCACTGGGTTAAGAGGATTCACCAGAGCCAGAGTGGGGAACAAAACAGGCAGACTGACAAAGTACACTGCTGAGGAGCGCAGCAGGCGAGACAGGAGAGGTCTGTGCGCCATGTGGGACCCTTGCTGGAGGCAGGGGATCAAACCGGCCCTGTAGAGGCTGCGGGCAGCTTCGCAGCCCAGCCCTCAACCGCTGTGCCCCTGGGGAGGACCTGTTGCTTTATTTTTGAAAATTGACACAGACACCCTAATCTTCAACAATCACTATCCTGATTGTCACAGACATCAACATTGAGGCAAGACCTTTTGGCAAAAAGATGAAAACCCGCTGAAAGTTCAGTTGATGGCTAGCATTTTTTAGAAAGGAAGTACTTTTTAATTAATGTATTGTAGGGTAAATGATTATCAGGCTTTTCTGCCCTCCCACCATTACTATTGGCCTGCCTGATGGTGGGTACCTGCATTGTTATAAGTTGTATTGTTTACTTCTGTGGGCCTCAGCAGCAGTATTGAGATATTTATTCACCAAGCGGAGAGAGGCAGGAGAAAGAACTGCCAGAGAACCCAGAGTGAAGACTTGCCAGGGGCTTGGAGGCCTATAGGCCTCCTATCCCCCCTGCCACCCCCTGCCTGTCATGTACCTAGTTGCTGCACTACATGTAAAAGCTCAATAAAAGTCTGAGAAAGCCATCAAGGGCTCCAGGACTCCTTTACCGGATGGTCTGCTTGAATCATAAGGAACTAGCTCTGTGCTGTCTGCTGCTACAGGTACTTACATTTTTTTTTTTTTTTTAATTATTTACTGTGGGCCTCCCTGGTGGCACAGGAGGTTGAGCGCAGAGCTGTGAAGCTGTCCGCAGCCTCTGCAGTGCCGGTTGGATCCCCATCCGCTGCGGAGCAGCCCACATGGTGCAGCAGACCTCTTCTGTCTCATCCTTTGCTCCCCTCAGCAGTGTATTTCGGTCATTCTGCCTGTTCTGTTCCCCGCTCTGTCTCTGGTGAATCCTTTCACTCTCCCGCTCATCTGGCCTGTTCCCCGTTATTGTATAAATAAAATAAATCTTTAAAAAAAATTATTTTTGTGTGGAAGAATGGGGGTGTAGACCAGAGGTGCTGGGGAAAGGGGTGGTAAGAGGATTCACCAGAGACAGAGTGGGGAGCAGAACAGGCAGATGTACTGAAATACACAGCTAAGGGGAGCAGTGGGCGAGACAGGAGAGGTCTACTGAGCCATGTGGGTAGCTCCCTGGTCTAGGATCCAACTCAAGCTGCAGAGGACCATAGGCCATGTGGTAGTTTTCTGAACCTTAACCCCTAGGCCACCAGGGAGGCCCCAAGGTATGTACATTTTAATAAAATTTGTATACTTAACAGACCACAGTGTAGTATAAACATAACTTTTATATGTGCGGGAAACCAAAAAATTTGTGTCATTTGCCCTACTGCAATACTCACTTTATTGTGGTAATCTGGAACGCAACCCATACTATCTCTGATGTATGACTGTAAACAAAGAAAAATTTTAGTCAGAGAAAATTAAAATTACTTTTTTTTTTTTGCAGAGATTGTAATGTTACAGGGTTTTTTTTTTTTTTGGTATATTTATTATCCCATTAAAAATGAATATGTATGTGTAAAATCAACTGAGGAAGTATACCAGTGACTTCATAGCTCATCCAATTACAGGGAATTTGCAAAATACTACTTTTTAATTTTCAGTAAGTATCCTATTTTTACAATAAAATTTTTATTTTATACTAAAAACCTAAATATTAACTAATAAATTTCATTTCATTTAAAAATATTCCTTAGAAAGAATTTTAAAAATATGGAATGTTGCTAGAATATTATAAAGAACTCTCATAAAAACTGCATCCAGATTCACCAATTGTTAATATTCTTGCTTCATATACCTGTACATACCTTTATTCTTCACCTTGAACTTTCTGAGAATGTGTTGTAGTCATCATGCCCATTTATCCTCCAATAATTCATGGTGTTTTTCTTCAGATCAAAGACATTAACTCTCATGGCTAAAGCCAAGAACTTTAAAACTGATTCAAAAATAGTGCTTTATTTACAGATTAATTCAATTTTTTCGCACATTTTCAGTAGTCTTTAAAAATACTTCTCTAAGATTCAAAGCAGAATCATTCATTGCATTGTTTCCTTTTCTCTTTAGTCTTGTGTCTATTCATTAGTTCTTCAGCCTTTCTCAAATAATGCTGACACTGATGAAGAGTCCAGGTCTTTTATTTTGTAGACTATTCCTAAATTTGATTTTGTCTGACAATTCATTATGACAGATCCATGATTTACATTTTGGGCAGGAATGTTACCTCAGTGATAGTGTCTTTAGTGCGTTGTGATGGGGAGCAAAAGATGTTCATGATTTGATGCCAATGTGATCACTTGGTTGGGAAGCTTTCACCAGACTTCTCTCCTTGAAGACAGAATTTTCCCTTTTGTAATTTAAAAGGTACTTATGGGGTAATTCTTGAAACTGCTGACACTGAAATATGTGACTAACTAAATTTTTGACAAATGTTTTCACTATAAATTGAAATTTAATAAAACAGAATTTCTTGCTTTTAAATAGAGGGACAACATATTACTGCTATTTTTAGTTATATGTATTTTGGTAGACACACATATAAGTGAATATTTTTGTGAAGCCGTATGTTACTGAATCAAATATTACAATTCTTTGTTTGTAGAAACAGAATGTTTTAATCCAAATGAGGTCATCTAAGGTCTTGGAAGTAGACTTGGAAAGAAGGGAAATTCTAAATGTTGACTTATTTTCCAGATTTAGTTAAAATTCTGGAAACTTATTTTCTCAATGCATTTGTTTCTTTTTTTTTTTCTTTTCTGTTCTTTTTCATTCCTTTTTTTTTTAAACCTTTCAGACTTCTCAGTACCCTAATTAGAATTAACGTAGCTCAGGGTCTGTTCTTCTAGAAAGTGTCAGAAACAAATGAGCTTTCTGGGCAAGTAGAGTAGATGGGTGAAAATGAATGGGATAAGAGGTGCACCTGTTGATGTGCCAAAGATTCACTGCTAGCCAGTAAGTTAGCTGGAATTTAGTATAAGGGTGTCCATCAGTGTTTGAATTTCAAAATAAGTAAATGGAATTTCTAAGAGTCTGTATTTATGCTTATAGATCAGACTGATCTTGATGCTCAAAAGCCCATCTGGTTTTGGTACTTGTGTTTATTCCAAATTGCATTTGGGTTCTTTGAAACCCTCTTGCCCTGGGGACATCTCTTTCCTTCCTCCACTTCCATCCTCCCCACCCTTGCATCACCACTACCCACCACCACTACTTGTCATCTGTTTACTTTGGGAGGGCTGGGCCTGGGAATGGAAACAGGACATAGACCGAAACAGTTTTCAAAAACACAAACAAGGCTGTTGGGAGAAACGACTTCCTTTTTACACAGCACCCTTGGCAGACCACAATCACTCCCTCAATCAGT